CCTCGAATAGAAAACATACATTCGTTGAATTAACAATAGCTCCCTATGTATATCATCGGCATCCATATATGTGTCATGGAAGTACAAGAAAAAAAAACTGAAAATTCATTTTTTTATAATTTTTTTTGAAATATTTTTTGCCTTTTTGTTGTTATGATTCCCCCTCAACCAAAAAAAAAAATGTCCATTTTTTCTGCTTGGATTCAGGACCAAATAACTTTAAACTTGGTTGACACATATCATTTATCATTTGTCGCTTTCATAGATGATTATTTTTATTTTTTTTTGGCCGAAAGTTATGAACGTCATAAACATTTCTCTTATTATATTATATATACAAGATATATATCAAATAAAGCTTACACACAAAAATAAGCCCGAAAACCATCATCTATTTTATATATGTACCGCAATGGTTTTCAAAAAAAAAATCAGATTCATAACAAATTCACATTATTTTTCAAAAGCAAAAAACCATCATCATTATTTTAAGAATAATTTCTTTTGAATTCTTTTGAATTCCATTTTAGAAATAAAAGTCATAGCAGATATGAATTTATTTATGAAATATTTTTTTTTGTTGTTGAAAAAAAATTCAAAATTGTGATCTGAATTATGTTTTTCTTTTTGGCATAAAAATTCCGTAGCAAGACAAGCAATGTGATAATTTAAAATCAAATTTTTTTATAAGCAAAGGTGACTGAGCTCGACCGTTAACATTATGAAATAAAATTCACTCTAAATAATGATTTCCTGATTGAATGATAACCACGAGTTAAAATTACAGAATATAAAATTTTCAAATATAAAAACAGATAAGAGATCCGTTTTTTAACTTACCAGAAAAATAATTTATAAACCAAATTAATTACACATGGTTTGATTTCAACTTTGGATGTTGAAGATTATTTAATCGGAAAGAATCGGTTTGAGGCTGGTATTCGTTATACGTAGAATTGAATCAACAACAACAACAACAACAACAAAAACAACCAGAAAAAATGCTTCGCACACATGAAAAAATTCGTGAATAAAATGAAAATCAATCAAATTGACACGATTCTTGTTGTTGGAATTTCAATACTGCATTTGTAACCTTATCATCACATTTGCCACTGAATTTTATTTTTTTGATTACAGAAATCATTATCAAAAAAAACGAGTTGATTAATTTTTTTTTGTTTGTTATTAATTAAAATTTAGGCAAAGAATTTTTCTCTTCCATGGGCTTATGTTCGAAAATTTTTTTTATGGATGCGAAAACTTGAAAAAAAATTCAATGCTAGTGACATTAAATACTATCCTATATCGATGATAGCTATTTATTTAATGTTGATATGTATCCTTTGAGATTAAATGAGCGAATCATATAATAGGAAAAAATAGAGAGAATGAGAGAAAAAAAAGAAAGGGAAAGCTTTTAAAATTTATGACGATAAGATATCTTAGATCTTATACATTTTAGAAAAGATTGTCATTTTAATTTACACATTATCGCTTTACACACAGTGATTTCTCTTTTTGATGTTTTAATTTAGATTTTTATCATTAAAAATTATTGTTATTTATTTTTAGTTTTAAGTCAAACAAATATTGATTGAATATCCATAACTACCTGAAATTTGTTATTGAAATATGTTATTAAAAACATTTTGTTTTCACATTGTGAATTTTTTCTATTTTCAAATAATTAGTTAGCTTATTTTGTCTGAATCGATCGATTTAGTCTGAGGTAGCCGGATTGTTGATATTGATGGTGATAATGTTATCAATATTCAATTGAAACAATTATTATTAAACATTCCATTTACACAGAAGTCAATGATTATTATTAGCAATCAGATTAAATTGAGAAAAATAAAATCTCACAAACCGACAACATCATCATCGATACCATACAACTTAATTTGAAATCGTATTGACGTCACAAAATACCAAAAAAAAGAACAACAAAAACCAGAACAACCATAAATTGAAAACAAACAAACAAAAACTAAATTGAAATAGAAAATTGGCAACGATGACGACCATTGAAATGAGATCTACGCCGATACCGATAATAATAATAATAATTATTATAATCCTCATAGTTTTTTTTTCCTGTAATCAGTTTCCAATGATTCTGATATTGATACTACTTTTTTTAAATGGTTTCTGACTGGTTGAAAACAAACCATATCAAATCACCTATTGTAGGAACTTTTAATTTCACTGTCAATATTGTTGTTGAATTGAAATTCCATTTCGTTTTTTTTGATTTTCTTCTTTTTTCCGTTCTTCTTCTTCTTTTCCTTCTTTTCATTTCTCTGTTTGTTTTCAATTTGGATCTGGTAAGCTGTTAATTTACTCATATATACATGAAGATTTTCAAGATTATAAAGAACATTTGAAAAAAATAAGATGGAAAAAAACAGCCTCCACAATCAGAATAAATGGATTCATTCAATTTTTGTTTTCAATTCAAGAATTGTTTGTAATAACAATAATAATAATATAATCATTAGAGTGCCAAATAAAAGATAATTGAATCAAATGGAAAAGAAAAGAAAAGAAAAACTAAACTTTAAGAAAGCCATAATCATTCTAAAGGCCAAAGAATTAATAGGAACAAACACACACACAAAATCGACAATTCAATTGTTTATGATAATCATAGTGTGATAAATGATGAAAGAAATGAAATTTTTTTTTCTCAAACAATAACAGCAAAAAAATACCAGAATCTGAAAAATGAAAAAAAAAGCCCAACATGTTTTTTTTTGGTTGTTGAAACGGATTGAAAGAAACTTGAAACTATTTCACAAATCGACAAACATCATCATAAACCATTATTATATAAAGAGGTACTTACCATTAACATTTATAAAATGGTTATTTCATTGCCATTATCATTATTGGTTTGTTGGATGTCGTTGTAATGTCTGATGTTGTCAAATGAATGCAACCAAACAACAAACAAACAAAAAAGAAACTATTCCATGAAAAAAGCTTCTATCTGATGATGGATGTTATGAGAAAAAACAACAAAACAAACAACAAACATAGACAAAAACATCAAAATGATAAAAATGGTTTACTTTCTTTTTCATTCAGAATATTTCAATAAATTTATGAAAATTTACAACATAACAAAAATATAATCATTTTTTTCCAGAGCATATACCAAACAACAACGAAAAAAATATTAAGAAAACTTCCAACACACATATACACCAAAAGTGAACAAGAGAGAATTCAATGAATTGTTTTGTGATGGCAGGATGTGATTCCAAACCGAATGGATTCGAATCCTAAAATGATGATGGCGAATATTGGCTGCGAAGCAATAAGGATTGAGTGTTTGTGTGTGTGTGTGTTGTTAGGACAAAAACTGAGGATACTAATGTCGACTACCGATTGACGCATATGAAACGTCGACTGCTGTCTACTGAATGGAATTCAGGCGCAAAAATAACAAAAAAAAACGAATTTCTCGTGTTGCAGAAATCTATAAGATAGCCATATACAGTTAATATACGCCAATAAATTCTGCACTTGCTCTGGTCTTTTCTTTTTCTTTTTGTTTTATTCTCTTGTTTCAAGTTCATCATCCAGCTGAATTAATAGAAAAAAAAAGAATTCTCAACCGATTGACCTCGATAACGACAATGTCGATAAAATAATTAGGAAAATGATGATGAATTTTTTTTATTCATTTATTCAGTTGTCTATCTATCAATACAAAAATAAAGTAAAGTTTTTTTTTGGCATCGATCTGTTTCTATCCCTGTTCGGTTAACAGGATTCCCAATGTAATTGATGGATTTTGTCTTTTGAACACAAATTTTTTTCAATAATCATAGCTCTCAAACTCGATGAAACACATTTGAACTAAATCGATTTTTTTTTTAACGCACACAATCAACTGAATTTGGCACTTGGGAAATTTATTCATTCCATACTTTTACATAAAGGATTTGTTGTTGATGAAATTTTTTCTTGTGGTACTTTAGTAAAACAAAATCCTATTGTTTCGATTCATGTTTCATGTAGAAAAAAATTCAAAGATTTTGAATTTCCTAGAAATCGGAAATCTAAAAAACGGAGAAAAACCAACCAGAATCCGAATAAAATTAATTTACGGGTCCAGGCCGATTTTTGTTTTGTTTATTTACTTTCATTTTTTTTTATATAAATATTTTTGGTTGAATGAGTTTTTCAATAAGTTCTTAATTTTTTTAAAACTTTATTAGAATTCAATCAAATGTGATTCTCTCAAAGAAAATATCGTATAATGAAATGTAGCAAAAAACAAATGAAATAAAAACAATCAAATTTATAATTTGAATGCAGTACACGAATCGAAAACAATTTCCAAAGTTAATCATATTTAATGAACGAACGAAAAAAAACATGGCCTTTTTTGAATCATTTTATTCTGTTTTTTTTTATTTCTAAAAATCATAAAAGAAAAGAATATTTTTGAATTGAACCAAATCACCAGATAATGAATTCTTTAGATAATCGGTTTGAATTTGAATAAAAAAAACTAAAATGAATTGTAAAATTCATTTTAAAAATTGAATATTTTAAATATAAATTGATGTTGAGGATTTAGAATAAGTCATCAATTATTAAATGATTGAAAAACAAAATAGGTGCAAAAATCAAAATTTTATTCATACAATTTTTGGTAAAATAATAATGACAATGGTTGTAAGAAAAATTGGCAATTTGCTTTTTTTCAAGCTCAAAAATCAAAATTATCTGTTTCCGCCTATACACGCAAACAATCAAATCATATAATGAAATATTCGTTGAATAACCAAAAAAACATTGTTCAAAAGGAATGATTTTTGTTTAACGAAAAAAATGTCATTATAAAAGAAATCGTGTTCAATCAATCTATCATTGCGTGACTTGGAATTTAATATCTTCCTTTTTTTTTTGATTAGAATAAAAAGCGGTGGTTCCAACAAAGGTTCTCAATGGCAAGAAATTTTCTTGATTGGAAGTCACGAGATCATTTTAATGAATAAACCCATTCATCATCTATCATTACAAAATGGATGGTAGCGATGGAATGTGTGGCGCTTTGAATTCTTTCGGATGATCATGAATGAATTTTATGAACATTGAAGCTCGTTTTTTATCTTTCTGTTTTAAAATGAGTAAAAATTTTAAGTTAATATTTTTTTTTAAATTTTAAATCATAACATACAATAAAATTATTCACATCAACCAGCGCTACTTCTCCAACGTTTTTGAATGAAACTAAAAGCTGTCGAGTGGCAAAATCAATGGCCAATATTTCTTCTGGTTCGATTAAATGAACTAATTTTCGCCAAAGTAACGCATTATGTAAAATGCTTTTATCTTTATATGAATGAACCGTTTGAACATCTGGATGTCGTGAATTTTGAGTGATAAAATGTGAATTCTCAAACGATTTGACTAAAATTAATGAATTATCCAGATGTTCGAGCTTTTCAATAGTATTATCCGCTTCATCCCAACCCTCCCATTTAGCTTCATAAGCGACGATTCCGTTAACAAGTTTTTTACTTCGTATGCGCTCGACGCTCCATTCTGTTTGAACTTCAGGGTTGGGTTCACTATCATCATTTCCAAGTTCCTCTTGCAACGATTCAATCGTTTCTTCAATTTTTGCCTGCATAGATTCACGGCTTGTCGATCGATTTTTAATTTGACCAGTTTTAATTTGAGTGAATGTTGACATATTTTCTGATGTCTCTTCGGCCGGTAAACGATTTGTTGCAGGAAAGCTCATCTCCTCCCATGATAATTCATTCCATTCACGTCTTGTTGCCGACTCGATTGTTGTCGACAGTTCGGATACAGGTTTTGATGCTTGTCTTGAATTTTTAAACATTATGATAAAATTAAAGTGATAATTTTAATTGATGAAGAAAACATCAAAATTCTATATGCGTTACAGCATAAATATCATATGATAAGGAATCAACATTCAGACGTCTTATGTGAAGGGCATGAAATTAGAATTTGAAATCAAATTCGATTCGGTCTCGAACACAATTTCAAAAACAGCACATTTGATCAATTTAAATTTGACTAGAAAAAAGGCATTTTTTCTCAATAAATCAATAAATTAAATTAAATTTCAAAAAGAAACAAAGATTGGTCGCAATATGTACAAAAGTTATTAGCATCAAATACAAATACAAAAAAGTTTTCTAGTTTTTATCATTTTCTTAAATTAACAATGAGTATTATTATCTATAGAATTTTGAAATTCAATCAATTTTTCTCGTTGCAAACGGATTATTCATGACACACAATAAATTCCCATAATCACAGATCAATGCTTTTTGTTCAAAAGAAAACACAAGATTTTTGATCGATGATGCTTGATAGGATTTTGTCCATTTATTCTCATTATTATTTAATGCCATTTGATTTCCTGTTGACGAATCAATATCAGTTGTATGCGATGCTAATGGTACCATACAAATTGATCGGGCATCATTACAATCCCAGATGATTAATTCATTATCACGAACAGTAACCAGAATAAATGGTTCAAGAAATACCATACTGCGGCAGATTGTATGCTGATTGGGTATTCTATGAATCAAATGTCCTATTTTAAAAACATAAAATTGATCAAATGTTAAAATAATGAAAAAAAGATAAACTCTACCTGAATATCGATCCCATATACAAATTGTATTATCCGTTCCACTGGTAACAAAATACAATGGTGATGTAACAATCGAAAGAACTTCAGCATCTGTATGTGCTTGCATACTAAATATGCAGGTACCAGTATTCAAGTCCCATACGCACATCTGTCCCAATTGACATCCACTCAATGCACTAGCCGTTGAATACTGTAGAATAAAATATTTAAAAATTATACCAAAAAAACTTTTCAAGACTTACAGGATCAATGGCAGTTGTCATGATAGCGCCACAATGTCCATTTAATGTGTACATTAATTTAAAATTATCTAAAGCAAACACTTTCAATGTTGTGTCCATACTGCCCGAAATTAGACATCCACGACTACCAAATACACGGATAAATTCATCATCTTCAAGAGAATCGATAATTTCAACCCGAGTAATCGGTTGTTTATGAGCTTGTATACGAAATTTCAATCGATAATTAATTTGATCATGACACTTGGTTTGTGATGAAGAAGTATCGGGTTGAAAAATGGTCGAATATTTATCTTCTTTGAATTGATCCAATTCTAATATTTCTAATTGGCCATTCAAACGAGCTAAAGCAACAGCCCAATAGGTGGACTTGATCACCGTTATAGCATATGAGTCATTAGGTTTTTTAAAATCTTCGTTAGCATTTCTGTAGGCATCTGGGTAATAAACGAATGATAAACATCCAGTATAGGCATCCCAAACTTCAAAACGGCCATCATCACCCCCACAGCCGAGCAGGACATATTTATCATAAATGTCCATACACCAAATGGGACGAAAATCAAGACTTTTAAATCGATCGTTATTGAATTCAAGATATTCATGATGATCATCAAGATTATCATCTTCACAATTACTAACAACGTCGTCATTCTGGATTCCATAAAATAAAGTTTTCAAAATATTGCCTTCAGTCTTAATTACTACAGGCGCTTCACCGTTAGACGCATTCTGTTTTTCGTAATTGTCATCTACGTTTGTTAACATTTCATCGATGATTCTTGATGGCTTATATGGGAAGATTGATGATGAAGAATCATTCATCATGTAATTAGATCGCTTGATTATAGCTAATGATTCACAAGTAAGTGCATCGTACATCCTTAAATCGCCCGACAATGAACTGGCAGCAACTAATGGTGTTTGAAGATTTGTAGCAATCAAATCAATATCTTGATTATCCAAAAAGTACTGTTTTTCATTCGTATAGGCTTCTTTTTCACGATCATAATTCAAAATCGATATATCAATACGTAAAAGACGATCAGAATTACCATTAGTGCCATCATTATGATTTTTTAATGAAGCAGCACGCTTGACTAATGATCCCAATTGTTGGAATGGATTCGTTTCAGACAACTGTGTTCGCCATTCAGCATAATTACGTGTGCACATACAACGATAAAGTTGTATGATTAGGTAAATGAACAATATAAAACAAGGTGTCCACAGTCCAATAATTAAATGAAGATCATCTTTCGACCAATGATTGAGTTTCACTTGTTCGAATTTATCACTGGTATTTATGAAAATTAAAAAAATATCAAATTAAATGTAATTAAATCAATCTCACTTACTAATCATCATCATCGCGAATAACATATTCTCCATTCGAAAATTTCATTGGAATGAATTTTTTTAATTTATGATAATCTGAATCAGCAGCATTTCGACAAAGTTTAGCTCGTTCAGGCGTTATTGGAACGGATAAAAGTATAGGTGGTAGTATCGATATAAAGCGGCCGGTTAAGGAAATGTTATACAATGAAAATAAATTGGTCCAATGCTGATTGGCAAATGGTTTCGGCATTGAATTGCTACGTGATGAATAGCTAAGTCGATGATATGCATTTATAGTAGGCGGTGGTGATGATGAATTGATCGTTTCTTTATCATCTTTACTAAACGTAGAAATTTTATCAATCTCTAATAATTTCATAAAAGATTTTTGCGAATTTTTGTCTATAAGTACGGTTTCATTAATTGTCGTCACTGGTATGAAATTAGTTGTAATTTCAGATTCGGATTCAAATTTTTGTGACATTGTGGAATTCGGTTTGCTTGAAGAGAATGATTGTTTCTGATTCAAAATTGAATTCTCTAATGGAGTGGTGGTTTGTTCCAGAACAAGATATGCATTATAAATGGCTGAACCTATACAGGCACTTAGCAATAGGATGAAACCCCGTTGAACAAGTCGTAGACGAGCTAAGAACAAAATGAAACGCAATCGTTTAGGAGTTTTTTGCTGAATTGGTTCTCCAGGTCTCGCATAAATGTTACGAGGATAAACATTTTGTGGATGTTTTTTAGGATATGCGTGGATATTTCGTTTCTATTAATTTTGGTCAGGTCAAAAAATTTTGTCAAACATCAAACAATGAAAATAATTACCTTAATCCTTTGCACCAGCAACGAGTAAAATGGTGTGAACAATGTGAGTTGAATAAAAAAATCGGAAAGAAAACAAACGGCAGCAATCTTGCAACATTCTTGAAAGAACGGCATCAACGTGAAAGATCCAATCGATAGAAAGGCCAATTCGGCAAGAAGATTTTTAGTTATAGACAGGCCTTCCTTGCTTAAAACTTGTGCTACGCGAACTTTTGAATCTAAATGAGGATTAGCCAAGACTGATTTGGTTAGAACCAACATATTTTCGAAACCTTTTTTGAAATGTTAAAAAGTTTTATTTTAAAGAATTTCATGGCTAACAATAAGCATGAACTTACTTATCCCAGCAACAAAATAAGGCAATAAACGATTAACAATCAAAACAGAATGAAAACGAAGACGAAAACATATACCAAAGGACATGAATAGTGACATTAATAAGGTGATTAATGTGCAAAGTGAATATAATCGTTTATTAAAAATGATTTCGACTTTGCCTAAAATTGAAAGAGAAATATGATCATTCGATTTGGCAAAATTAGACAATTACTTACGGACGATGTAGTACATATAAAAACAAGCCATTGCATAGATTAATATTAGTGGAAGAAGATAATTATAGGTGAATGTTGTATGAAAATAAATGTGTTTGGTCTTGTTTTCCAAAAGATCTACTGGTTCTGCTATTTGTGGTTCGAATTCATAATGATTTCTATTTGTAGCCGAAGATGTGGACTGATGTTCATTTCGTGAATTTTTATTATTCATTATTGTAGTGGACAATGGATAGCGTTTATACAAGTAGGCACGCAGTGCTTCAATAAATTCTGGAGAATTTTCACGCAATATCAACGTTATCGCATATGTAATAGTACGAACACGATTCCGACCATAAGTACGTCGTATGCCGGTATCTTCGAATGAAACACCAAATATAATATCATGCAATGCACCCGATGGTACAGGACTAGCAGGGAGATCTTGAAATTTTAGCAATGTATTTAGGAAATTTTGGTCTTGTAAAAATTTGGTGCGATCACCATGCCATACATTGGCTGGTGATAATGTCAAACAAGAATATGAAGAAAGATGTGAGGCTATTTGTGAATAATGCTCAGAGAATGTTGGTTCGAACACTTGAAAGCAAACATCGTTCAAAGTGATTGGTTCATTAAAATCATTTTTAAATTGGAAATTCGATACAGCTTCAACGATTTCGAATGTGGTTTCGAATGGAGCTCGTAATGCATCTACTAGTTGCATATCTTGAGGCCATGGTATCACAGCTGAACGGATATAAATTTGTTGAACATATGCATAGGAAAGATTCGGTTGAAACTATTAGAAAGAATAAATGGTTAAATGGAATTATAATTAGGTATTACTTAATCAACACTTACCCAAGGAGGAACATTCTGATCATCATCAAGCTCATTTCGAACATATGAATCTGGCCAATAATTAAAATGTTTCATCAAAGGATGAACAGAATTATCGCCAGAGTTCAAAAGGAAAGAATCATGTGATTTAAATGAAGAAGAAATATATAAATCATATGAGCTACCGAACACACCACGAAAAGTAAATATCTGATATGAAGTAATAAACACTATCATCAATGAGAATGAGATTATTAGAGCTGGATGTCGTGAACAGAATAGGCCATGTTTATAATATAATTTTGAAACTTTTTCTTCGATTGTCGAAAGAAAATGTATCGATGATTGAGATGTTGTAGCCGATAATGATGATTGTGATGATAACAAAGATGGATTGGAAGAAGTCGACAAACGTAAATCAACGCTACGTGTTCTCTTATGCGATAATGACTTTCTATTATGATTTGAATGGGCGATTTGTGGTTGATTCGATAGACTACTTGTTGATGATGAAAATGAACTAGTCCTACTATGTTGATATTGATAATAATCGGCAGTGCTTATACCCGATGATGATGGTTCAATGAAATTTGATTGGGATGAATAAGGTCTTGAATGTATTTGTAAAGGATTATTTATCATTGATGATTGTGAATCCGTATGATTCAAGCGATCGAATGTATCAACCGCCATAGATGATGGTATTGAATCGACATTTTGAAAAAAATCTCGATGATCTTGTTGTTCATCATTCATTGTTGATGTAATAATAAATTAATCATTGTATTGTTACAATAATGGATTAGAATGGAATATTACATTCAATCATCCAGGCAGTGAATGATTTGAATTCAAAGAGATAAATAAATATGCAAATGAAGATGATCGATTTCCTCTTTCATCGTCATTCAATTACAGATGTCTGTCAATTGTACTCATATGACGTAAAAACGACAACAACAATAAAAACTGGAATTATTCTTGTAATCGATTGATTTGATGAGTTTCTTTTAAAAATTTACAATGTATTGAATATTTGTGCACCGGCCATCTTTTAAATAAACTTTTATTCTCATCAAGGAGGTTTAGGTGCAAACACATAAACTATATTCATATTTTTTTGTAGCTCAAGAATGGTGATTGAAAATGCAGTTTTTTCCGCTTGTTAAAATTGTCAAACAAATATTGGTTGATTTGTTGGATAATTTATTTGATAAACATCATTAAGACTGATGTGAATGACAGTAGAATCGATTGATTTATCAGTTTATAAATATTTAGAAGGAAAAACAAGAAAAAAAAGAATCAAATAATTAAGAAAACAAAATAATAGTTGATTGAGATAAAATTTCACAATTTGTTTGTAATTGAAAAAAACGTCCGTTTTGTTGCACTAAACAAAAACTTATAATTATAAATTGAAATGACGATAAAAATCCAACGTTTCTCGTTTTATCTTTTTGCTTATTTATTTATTTTTTGCTCTAATTATATATAAATTTAGACGTAGCCATTAGTAAAAAAAAATCAATGTTCGTACAAATGTCTTATAGTTGTTAACAGTATTTTTATGCAGAAAAGATTTTCATCAATGGCAATCTAAATGACGGATTGGATTTTTGTTTTTGTTTTTGTTTCGAACAAGGTTAGATTAAAAATTTTGAATTTAAAAAAAAAATATTAGCCGTAACAACACATACACCAACATAGAAACATATTTCTGTTTTGGCAAACTTGTGAGCTAATAATTGAAGAAACCAATGGTATCCAAATCATGTTTACGGTGATTTCATCGGTTCTCATGCAAACATAAAGATTCCGCACATATAAGACGTAATGGATTTTTTTTCTCGTAAAAATATTGTTTGTTGGATACAAGCGCCCTCAGGAATTCGAATTCGAATTCGATTTTTTTGTTTGAAACAGTTATTTGAACACTTGTTCGATTAAATGTTTCATTCTTTAGTTAAAAGATGGCGTTACATTTTACGAATTTTTTTTAAATTACTTGTTTATTTATATGATTAAATTAAAAAAAAATTCGAACGCAAAAAAAGATATGAAAATATAAAAGAATTTAGTAATAATCATCCGATCGAATCGATTGAGGTGAATGTTGATATGGATTATAAGTATTGCCATTCATTGGAATAATCGATGATGATTTTGGATTTGATGGCTTTTGCTGACGACTTTTATTTGGTTTACTATTCCGACTTTTATTTCCATTTCCAATGTTTTTGTTATTATTGATCAATTTTGCTCCCGGTCGACTATGTGTTGTATTTTCTGTTGTTGATGGTGAATATGAAGAGCTCATCGATGGTATTGGCCTATTATGATGAGGATGATGATGATGAACCGTGTTAAGATGTAATGGTTGTTGTTGTGCTGAATAATGCGAACCAGATCGATCACCATTGTTGCCATGATGATGATGGGTATTATGTTGAAGATGATAATGATGATGAGGATTCCCTACAACAGTGCTTGTCATTGGATTCGCTATTGATGTTGTACTTCGATTCAATGATAAACGAGAATCATATGGAGAATAATAGCTGCCAATGTCAATCTTGTATGGATCATAATCATCCATAATAGTTGGTTCGTGTTCAACCATCTGTGTTCGGAAAAAAATGCAAAGAAAATGATCCATATAATTTACTGTCTAACAATGTTGTAAGGCAAGCGATTATCCTACGCGAAATCCGTTCAATTATTTTCTTTTTTCCTATGTCTAATTTCGATCATAGTTTTTGACAAGGTATATAATTCACTATAGAGAATTGGCCAATCATTAACCCCTGACTAAATTTTTGTTGTTGTTATTGTTGATAATATTGAATGAATAGTATTGTTATCGAAAAACACTCAACTATCTATTTTTATAAATGTTTTTTCTTACCTCTGACCTGAAGCATGAACATGACATTGATGTACAAAGAAATATATTGACAACCATCATAATGATGAGCAGAATGCCAAGCATGATACACAATGCAATCAGCCATGGAAAACGCCATTCATTACAATTGCCATGGATGAAGTCATCGGAACCATCACTTTTGCCGCCGATTCCAGCCAACATGATAGACGATGACATTTGTTGATCAGGTTCAAATACATATACGGTTGTCGATACAAGCATTTGCATTTCACTTGTTGGTCTATTACGTTTATTACCTATCGATGTTATATTATGATTGCTGTCAGTTGTATCGATCATCATTGTTTCATTGCCAATCAATGGACAAAGTGATGGATCACAAAAATTACAATTTTCAACTAATTCAACTAAACATTGCATATGTAGCTGATTAGTTCCGGGTAATTTGAACATGGAATAAATTTCTGCTTCTGCAATATTCTGTCCAATTTGTTTAAATGGACTTAACATTTGGCCGATAACGGTTGGACAACCATTATTATCTAAAAATTCTACATCCGTATCATTTCCATTGAATATCAAACAATTTTTTACATAAAGATGATATGCTGATTTGCTTGTTTTTAATTGACTAGATGATGTTTGCTGTTGTTGTTGCTGTTGAACAATCTCAGCTCTTAAACGATATGGTTCACCATGATATAATTTAGTTATTTTATGTCCATGACGATCAACAAATTTGAACATTAATTTTTCATTTTTGTTTCTAAATTTTTTTTAATGAAAAAAAAATCGATAAATAAATCGAAACACAAGTGAAATAATGATTAGCAAAGTGATTTAATTAACTAATAAGATTATATCATTTATCACAACACTTACCTATTGGAAAATTCAGTATTACCACAAGTGATCACAAAATGTTTATCATCCGATAATTCTAATGCTTTATGTAAACGAACAACTAATGAGATTGATCTTTCTTCAGTTCCCTGTGAAAAAACAGAAATAAATGCAAGAGAAAAAAAACGTTTTTCAATTAAATTCAAAGAAAAAAAATCTAATTAAATTAATATTAATATTTCCTTCTTATCATCATTTTAAAACTAAATTTGTTAGATTGGGTGAGCGATCGTTAGCCATGGATAATGAAAGTGAAATTACTTGATGTTCAAATTTTTGTACAAAAAAAATACTTAAAGGTAATTAACAGAAAACGACATTATTTTCAAATGGAAACTGTTCTTTTTCCTTACTTTTTTTTGAAATCATAATTGTGTGGTTAAAAACAAAATTCAAATTTAATTTACCTTAACACGATGTATACCACAGAAATTTGGCCGATTCGATGGTGCAAGGAGATCGATTGTCATTGTGACTATTGTTGAACCATTTCCATATATTTGACATGGATTACGACGAAAATTTCTTACATGTACAATACCATTAAACGGTTGATCAAATGTAACCATAATATTCATTAGATTACGTTCACATTGTGCCTGCACATGTGGATCAAAAACATATGAGCCAAACATTGTTGTTGCTGTTGATGTTGATGTTGTTGATAATAACTGTAATGGTGATGGTGATGATAGATTGTGTTGGCCAAATGAACTGACATTTCCATTATCATCATTATTATTCAATTTATTCTGGGCAAATACTTGACTCTGAAATTAATGAAAAAGAAAAAATTTTGTAATTTACATTGATTGAAACAAAAAGCAATCGAAAATTTTATGATTCAATTAAATTTTTATTCAAAAATTTTTCAAATTGTAATTATGAATGATTTCTTTAACTTTGATTGTCAGATGTTGTTGGTGAATATTTATTTAAATTGCAAAATGAAAACACAATTATTTATGGCTGTCATTTACGTGAAACAAAACAAGAAAAAAAATCATCTTCAATAATTGATAAAGATGTCAGTGATGTACTCGAAAAGATTTTTTTTCTACTTAAAAAACTATCTGAATGCGTAGGTAAGTGATTTGATTGATTTTTTTTTTGTTTCTCTCCCAAATAATAATCATTATCAATTTTTGCGGACAATTTTATTACTTATGATTATCCATAATAATCATACTTCAAAGGAAAATGATGAATTTTTTCTTTTGGTAAATTTGCTTCAAAAAGGACAATCATTGATGTTCAATTTTATAAAATAAAAATTAATCCAATAGAAACTGGAGCAAAACTAATTTTTAAACTTGGCCAATCTTTAATTTGATCTGATAAAAAAATGTAATGTATTTTAGCATTAAAATCTCATTTTGCGAATAAAATTACAATGGAAAAAAATAAATATTCAAAGTAGAAAAAAATGCAAAATTTTAGGTGGATCAATTTTAAATTGAAAATGATAATCTTAAACTTGTCAATAGAGATAGATAGATAGATCGATTAGAAAAACAGCAAAAAATAAAATTAAACAAACAAACAATAAACGAACAGATCATTTGAATCGATCGATCGATCGATCAATCAATCTATGATTGTAATGATTAGAAATGACTATTTAAATCGTCATCATCTTAGATTATTATCCAAAAATGATTATATAATTTTATCTAGATTAAATTTATGCAAAACAACTATAATAACAACAACAACAACAATTTGAATTGGTCAGAAAAGAAGGGATAGTATGAAAACACTTTTTTTCTTGATTATCTTATGATGATGATGAAGAAGATAATGATTATAATCAATGTATACATATTGCTGTCTTGTTATCCTTTTTAGTCAATCTGATTTGTATGATGTAAATAATCATTATAACCATTATCTTCATCATCATCATCATTATAGATGTAAATGTTAATGATAATAATGGATTTGATGAAAGAGTGAGAGAGAGATAGAGAAATAGTCACATAAAGCAACCACAAAGTTTTATTTTGGTTTTAAAATGAAATTACAATATAATTTGACTAGAAAGAATTTACCAAAAACCAAAACAGTCATTAATCCAAAATAGAAGAAAATGATTGTCCAATTAACTGATCGTTATATAAAATAAACAAACCTGAAAACCAATATGACCTGCTAACTTGATATTATAAACAAATTTTGTTTCATTAATTGAAAGACACGATCAAGTTTTTTTACTTTTGATTCGAAATCGATTATGATTTCCTAAATCAATATTATTTCTATTGACTTCATGAAAGTAAAATGAATTTTCATTCGATTATAATGATGAATAATATTGATGATTATAATTAAATCAATGAACAGGTATACATGGTCCAGTTATGCAGAACTTTTATTATCATTATTATTCAAAATAAACGACTCAATCAAATCGCTTTGAACATTTGAATTTATAATTTATTATATTGTAAACTATAATATTCAAAGTGAACAACGAAGAAAAAAACGAAAAAAAATTGCCAAGAAAATGATTCTCATAATCATCATGATGATGATGATCATTTCTCTGTTTAAATCATTTTGCCAAACAAATTCATCTTCATTATATCTCGACATGTTTAGAATCTATTATAAATTTTTGTTGTTGTTAATCCTCAAAATTTTGTTTTTTTAGTGAGTGCTGTACATTTTTAATGGGAATTGTTTTGTTTTTTTGTTGCTTCGTTTCCGTTTTAATTTCACTTATTATATAATGATAATGATGATAACATAGAGCAAAAACGTCAGGCGTTATGAATACAAGTTTGTTCCAAACGCATTTTAAATTCAAGAAAAAAGAAACATCAACTACAACAGAATGGATTAAGCAAACAAAATGATCAAAAGTAAGGTCATCCATCCAACCATCCATCCATCCATCCATCCAAATCATAATCTAAACAAGTTGATGGCAAAAAAAGTGGTGGTCATAATCATGGTCACACAAATAGACGAATATGTGTATTGTGTGTAAACACGATTTTATTTCATTTCATTTTTCTTTTCATTTGTTTTGTTTTGCTTGTTTTAGACAATCTTGTTGAAAGTTATCCAAGATAGATAAGATATATAAGTAAAGGATACTTGGATAGATAAAAGTTCAATGTAAGTTCATTAACGTGTTCATCAAAGTGTGACTTACTTTACTTTTTGTATAATCATTATGATCATCATCATCATTATCATCAAACAATGATCATCTTGTGTTTAATTTTCAATATAATAATGATGAGAAGTATATCTATTAACATCTATTTTACTGTTTTTGTTGCCTCATTCATTACCGCAAAGATTTTTTTTCCAATACAAATAATGTATAGCATCAGAGAAAATGTTGTTGTTTTTTTGTCAGGAAAAAAAGAGGAAATGTCATCCTCATTGCAATCAACAACAAATATTGTGACAAATAAAAGAAAAATTCTTTGTTGTTTAGATAAATGTATGAAGGGAAAAAATCACATAGATCCTTGAATAATAATTGTGTACTTGTGAATTTTAACAAAAAGAAAACAAAAAAATCAATTTTAAATTTGGAAACACTTTTTTTTCTCCTATATAGACAAATAGGAAAAAAAGATCAAATAATTGAATGCAAATATGCAAATCGATTTGATTGAAAACAAAACAACGAACTGATGAAAAATTTATTGTCGAAAAAAACAAGAAATTACAAGGGAAAATTGAGATTTTCAAAACTTTTCAAAACAGAAACCGATAAAATTGATTCAAATCCGACATTTATAGCCAATATATGAACACAGTACATTTGATATATTTGGTTAATCCTACATTTTTCCTTTTAATTATTCGAAAATTGTATTGAAATGTCAAAAGGAATGATCGAAATAAAAAAAAAATCCATTAAGAATTTTGAAATTCAAGATTTGAAAGTTTGCAGAAAATTTCAACAAATCATTGATGATTGCAGAAAAAAAAATCCAATAATAAAATTGTATCCAATGGATTTGATTGGTTTGGTGATGTTTGTTTTGGAAAAAAAAGACGACAACAACAATATAGTTGAAAAAAAATGAAGAAGCGACTCTTGTTGATCAATTCAATCGTCATCGATCATTTGATGATGTGATGATCCTTGACGATGTCAGTAAATCTTTTTTCTTTCTTTTTTGGTGTGTATGAAATAAAATAAATTGAATTGAAATTTTTTTTCTTCGGTTATATCGATGATGGAAAGGTTTGATTTTGTATGAAAATGATGTGTTTTTTTTCCCAGTATTTTTTTCAATCATTCATATAATAACAGAAAAAAACTATATATTTTTTTTGGCAAATTTTTTTTTCCAGATCAGATCAACAATCGATCAAATAAAAAGAAAATGATTGGATCTGATTTGTATCAATAATCAATCAAAAATCACGATCAAATAATAAAAAGAAAGATTTTTTTTTTGTCTTATTTTCCTTCTTTCATATCCACAATGTAATTGATGTGATGTCAAATTTAATAGATTATCCTCGATATTCAATCGATATTTGTTAGTGCACGTTTTATAAATTTTCATATCAACAAATTAAAAAAGAAAATGAAGGAATGAAAAAAAAAACATACTTGAATTTCAAATTATGATTGGTCAAAATGTATGAAAATTCATGAAGAATTTTGTTTTTTTTCATCATATTTCTATAATGATAAGTGTGTTGTTTTTTCGGGTTTACATCATAACCTTGAATCGATAAATCATTAATCAATAAATTTTCGAAGTAGGCTCGAAATATAATCGCCTTCAAGAAGATAGAAGAAATTTTGAAGAAATTTGGCATTGATAACTTGAACAATGTTTTGCAAACGATTCTATGCCCAAATGAAAAATGATTAAAAAGAAAAATCGTTTATTCACTTATCTTATTCTAACAAACAACTATGTCATACATAACTTTGTTATGACAGTTTATTTGTGTGTGTGGTCAAAATGTCAATTCATTCGTCATAGGATTTATATGAGTTTAATATGTGACCAGAATATACATGCATAAATTGACCGGCATGATGGACAGCGAAAAAAAATACAGGATGCAGGATGTGAAACAATAGAAAATGAAAGAAAATCCCCGGCTTAAAAAAGTCATTCGCACTTGAAGTTCAGTGGAATTTTCGTTTTCACACACACACTAATACTGTGGTAAATCTTCATTCTTCACTGAAAAACAAAAACAAATCAAGTCATACTGTCAGACGGAAGAAAAAAAATTGATTAAAAAATCCTAGCCATGTGTATTAAGCGCGTGTGTTACACATTTCATGTTTCATATCTCCTTCATGTGGATAAAAAATAAAAATAAATTTGCATATTACATACTTGCAAATAGTGAAAAAAAAACCTTGAACCTATTTAAATTTATGGAGATGATATTCAAAAAAAATCAATGATGTCTAATATTGAAACTTTTACGAAAATGAATGAATGAAAACTTACATTTAATTGAGATGAACTGAAAAACAAAATCAAAAAGCTAATAATTATCGATAATAATGATGATTGAGTGATTTTATAATGACAATTTTGTTGATATTTACATGATGATTGTCGTTGTCTTTGATGATAATGATAATAATAATTGATTAGTAATTGTTTTGATATTGAATAATATTGATGAATAAGAATAAAAGGTCTGGATTTTTGTTCATTGAAATTAATATGACCATAATCTATGTCCATTGATATATGATCACAATGTTTACAATTCATCATTTCAACATTTGTATTATTATCATTATTATTATGGCAGTGATGATGAACATCATTGATAGTGTTCTCAAAAATTGTTGATGGCAATTTTGAACAAGGATGAGATAATGATGATGATAAAATTTGACCGGATAATGAATGTAGATTAACATTATTAATTTGATTATGATTGTTGTTGTTATTATTAAATTTTATTCGTTTTTTCTTTTTTCGTTTCGTTGTTTTGTTTATTAGGGTCGAAATTAAATTAAATTGGCCATCCATATATGTTTCATTATTATATGATGGTAGTTTTTTCTTTGTGGTAGTCATCATCACTATTATCTTGTCGTTGTCATCAACATCATCAATGTTTTTGTTATTAGAAATCTTTTCTGTGGCCTCTTGTATGGCCATAATGTCCATTGTCGATGTTGTTGTTGTTGTTGTTGATGATGATGATTTTAGACAATTCATATTTATCTGACTTTTTTGTAGATTATTATGGTTGCCCATAACAATAACAATTTATACATTTTGTTGTTGTTGTTGTTGTTGAAAGAAAATATATTTAATCTTGGTTTTTTCTAAAGATTTACACACACAAAAACACAAAAACGGATATTGAAAAAAAGTGTTGACCAAATGTTTTTTTTTTGCAATATACATTGAGTATCTATTCACCCGGATTGATCATAATCTCAGGCGCGAATCACCTTAGATGATGATATTCATTCGATGATAATAGGAACAAAACGACAGGTGCAAAAAAAACTAAATCGAAAAAAAAGAAAAGAAAATAACAATGAATAAAAACTAAGGAAGGATAGAAAAAATCAAATTTAAAATATAAGAAAATATTCAATCATTTTATCGACACATTTAAATCAGTTATCTTCAAACATTGTTGACCGTTTTTTTTTGTTGAAAACAACAATCGATATACAAACTATGACACTTTTTTTTGTAGATGTTTTTTTATTATAGCTGGGAACTGAAGAACTGAAAACTGTTCTTCTTTGATAAACTAAAGCTAAAAAAAAGTAGTTAAAGATACTGAAAATGAAGAGATGCTAATTAATCAGACTATCTGATTATTATTCAAAAAAATAAGAATGTGTCAAATATTCCCACGTTTTTTGAATGAATGATTTTGATTGGAGATTGTTTTTTTTTCTCTCTCTCTCTTCATCAAAGAGAAAAGTGGCAATTTTTGTTTTTTTTTGCTGTCGATTAAAATTACATTGTTTAAATTAGGTTATCATCAAATAAGATAAAGAGATAATAATGAAAAATTATTATTAAAATTATGAATGTAATTTTTTTTGTTTTGTTTTTCTTTGAATACTAAATTTCGATTAACAATAAGCTAAAAATAAAACAAGTGGGAAATTTTCAATGTATATCTATTGATATATCTCCATCAATCATTAGATAAAAGTTGTCGATATGATCGTCATCAAACAGGATTGATAAATAATTGAAATTAACATTTTAGATAATATTAATGGTAAAAAAACCAAAGAAAAATAATGGTGAAATTTAAATGAAAGGAAAAGTCTAAAATTAAAGAATCACGAAAATTTTCTATACCTAAAAGGAAAGATTGTTCAAAACTATTCAAATCATCATCATCATCATGATCCAGATGGATATCTTTATAATTTGATTAATCAATCAATTGATCATGTTATTTCCTTACATTGCCATCATTTTATTATGGTCAAAATGAACAAAAAAAAAATTAATTATCATGATTCAAGTGAACATTTTTTGGGATCTGATGATGAATAATGATGATGATGATAGATGTTCACTTTGATCTAGAGAAATTGAGATCAGAGAGAAGAAAATTTTTCGATCACAATAGGAAAATGATAAAAATTCATCAAAGATCACGACCGCATCGATCGTTGGCCACAAAAAAAAATCTTTTGTTTAAAATCTTATGATTTTTTTTTCTTCACAAAACGCGAACTAAGGATTTCGATCTGAATGAAAGAAAGAAAGAAAAAAACAGATCGAATTCAGAAGCTTTTCATTTCTTTTCTCACCACAATAGAGACTATTGGCCAAATATCGATGATGATGATGATGATGATAACATGGGTGACATATTAAATACAATATTTGCCAATTGTAATAAAGATACGGATACGAATGACATCGAAAATTATTTGCAATTGTATTCACAAACACACACACGACAATAGATAATAATAATTATAGTGAAGAAGAAAAGAGAAAGAAAGAAAGAAAGAAAAAAAATTCACAATGACAACCACACAACGATAACAACAACAACAAAAAAGACGAATGAATTGGATTTCTTTTTCATGCAAACAAAATTGTTGATCATCATTATCTTTAGACGCCAAAGATCATTCAATTTATTTGTGAACATTTTCAATTGTGAAATTTAAAAAAGAAAAGAAAACAGAAAAAACAAACAAGCAAATTTATTACTATACCAAAATAATTTGTATATATTTTGTGTTTGCATGATTTTTTTTGTTTTGTTTTGTTTGTTTGTTTGTTGATCATCATGGAACAAACAATTTGTTGTTTGTTGTCTGATTGAACTAGATCCAATGAACAATAATACAAAACAAACAAACAAACGAATGAAATAAAGAATTGAAAATGTTTTATCAGGATTTTCGGTTTGTTTGTATCAAAGTTTCACTAATTTTGAATAATCAGAAGGATGTCCATGTCGTCGTTGTGGTTGTCATGGTTCCAATTTAGAAAAAAAACAAACAATTCAATTTGCTGACAATTATTTGGAACATTGGTGACATCATTTTCAAAATGTAAACAATTAAAATGAAATGATGTATTTTTTTTATTTCAAGACAAAAAACACCCACACATACTTTTAGAATTGGAATAAATCAATGAAAAAACATAGTAAACAATATTGACCAAAATTATATTCATTACAGAAGTTAGGAAAACTTTTTTTTCACAAACCTGTATGCGGTTTGATCAACAACAACAACAACAAAAGTTCTCACAATGAAAAAGAATTAAAAGAAAAAACGGGAAAATAAAATAAAATAAAATCAACAAACGAAATTGAAACGAATTTATTTTCGAAGAGAAAGTTGGAAAATTTTCTTAGTTTTTCGTTGCCATGATGGTGATGAGAGAAGCTCATGCTATGAACTCAATGATCCAAAGTTTGCAACTGCCGTAACAAAACAAAAAAGATTTTTTTTCTTCTATCATCAACTGTTCGGGACTGGAATGACTTGTTCGACCTATAGGTAGTATATAATTGCAAATATGCATAGGATAGGATGTGTATTTCAACGTTTTCTTCACTTCCATCATAGTCCTACTATCTTTTTTTCTTGATGGCTTTTTTCCATACATGATGATGATGATGATGATAATGGTCATTCTAAGCAACATTCAATGATGTTCGGTGATGATGGTGGTGGCAGTGGTTGTTGTTGCTGCTGTTATTATCGTTTGTTGTTGCCCATCGGTCATTGGAAATTAACATTTTTTTTCTTATTTCTCTTTCACTCTCTCGTGATATAATAATAAGAAAAATAAAAACATTTTGTTTTTCTTATACATTCATTCATTCACTCATTCGTTCGTTCATTTTAGTTTTATTAGAATGAAAATTGGAGTCTTTTTCTTTTCTCTGTTATGTTGTGTTAAAGCAACAAGTGTGGAAACATATCGAAAATTCATTAAAACACACATATACCGACACATTGTGAAGTGAGGTGAGGTGAGGCTGTGATATGATTCAAAAGAAAGAAAAAAATTTTTGAAAAATTGTTATTCTCACGCCATCATCATCATCATCATCATCATCACTATACATATTTACATTTGATACATAAAAAATTTCACTAGAAATGAAAAATGAAACCATATGTCATCATAATGATGATTATAATTATTATGTAGGATATAACGGAAGCAAGACCAACCATGAAAATTTAAAAAAAAAATACCAAAAACTTTGTCTTTGCAAGTTGACATCAGTCTTTTTTTTCCTTCTCATAAAAATCCATAAATCCAAGAAAAAAATACAATTTCCATTAATTTCTGGTATTTTCATTCTGAATGAAATTTAAAACACATAACCATAAAGGATTTTTGGGTCAGCACGAATTTATAATGACAAACTTATAAACAAAATGATTCAAAAAGATTCATTTACATCCATAAAAAACAAACAAACACTATAGAAAAAACAAAGATAATCCAAACAGTGTGTGTGTGTGTCTAAAGCTTAAAACAAAAGCCAACCAAAAATAAAACAAAAAAAAAATGATCTAATTATACTCAATTTATAATTAACCTGTTTGATTATGGAAACACACACCTTTGTGCTATGATATTTTTGTAAAAAAAAAGTTTGATTACTTAAAATAGAAAATGCAATTCTATTTCATTTAAAATTTAAATTTTTCAACAACAAAAAAAATTCAACAATTAAAAATTCTCATTCTCAACATTTTTTTTGTTTCGTTTTGTCCATTCTAAAAAATATGAAAAGAATTTTCCATTTTCATTTATATTATGATTCACGAATGTTTTTTTTTGTCTTTGTTTCAATTCTGAAATAAATATAGAGGAACCTTGGCAGGATGTGTATGGCGATCACATATATAACATTTGCTTGTTTTTTTTTCTAAAGTATCTGTTGTTATTCTCTCTTTTGTTGTTTGAAAACCGAAATTTAAGAAGTCAACTAAAAAAAAAGAAAAATATCCATTGAGAAATAATATTCAAGTCATGCTTGATTGTTTGTTTGTTTGTTCGCTCACTTGTTTGATTGTCGATCTTATCATATAAACTTTATTTGTTTCTTGATGTTTTTTTTGTTGTTGGTATATTTCATTTGAATTTACATCGAATGCCTTTTTTTACAACGAAATTGTCGTTGATTTTTCTTTTTTTACTTTCTCTTGTAATTTGAATTCGTATATGTGTAAGCAGTCGTTTCGAATCAGAATGACTCAGCGTAGCCAATAGCCAGAACACTCCCAGATTTTTCATTTGAATAATTATTCTGTTGTAGGTAAATTTTATTGGTTGGTTGGTTGGTTTATGGTGATTGAAAATGAATTTACATTTTGTTTTGTTTTTTTGCACAATTAATCGTGACAGAATCACATGTACATTTTGTAAAATCACGCTTTGATTGATAATGTTGTTGTTGTTGTTTGGGAAATTAAAATTAAGAATTCCGATAACAATGAATATGAGATGAACCAGCACTTTTTTTGATGATCATCGATCAATTGTGGCCATGATGAATCGATGATGAATAAATGATGAGAAATGAAAAAATGAGAAAAAAAATCTGATCTTCACATACTTCTCGAACGAAATAAGAATCAGAAATCAATTTTCTATTTGATCGATTTTTCTCATGATTTTATTTTACAAAATTCAGTTTGGAATTGAATTCAAATATCAAAAATTTTCAAATATTTTAATAAAAAACGAAATCCCATCATTAAAGTTGAAAAACCAGGAAATCTGGACCTGAAAAAGAAATAAGAAATTGGAGAAATGTTTAAAATTAGAATATCAATAAATACAAATATTTGTTTATTTACAAGATGTAATACAATACATTACAATAAATCACTCACAGCAGGTAAGTTGTTCGTGATTATCTTTAGCCATCTTTGATCATCATCATTATTATCATTTTAATCAAAATATGTCCTCAATATCAAAACTATACGGTACTGATTTCAAGATATGATAGGATTGTCTCAACGCAATCTAAATATATTAAAAAAAGAAGATAAATTGGTGAATTTCCCACAGGCTATTTATTTGTTTAATTGGTAATCAACGAAAATTTTTTTTTTCAAGATTTTCATCATCTGGACATTAACTGGATATTAATCATATAAGATGAACAACAACAACAAAAAAAATAATCACATTTGTTTATCGATAAATGATGATAGGGATAAACATTTTTTTCAGTCGATTTAACTATCAACTACTGATTGTGATAATGATAACAAAATATTAACTTTCTATATAAATGATTCAACGATTTAATCTTGAAATGTTTCATTGAGTTTATTAAAAATATGATATTCATATGAAAACATATTTTAAGTCGAATTTTATTACTATTTTTCTTTTCTTTCCATAAATCTGTTATGTTAATATCGGTAATCTATCCTTAAATTTTTTAAGGAGATTTAATATTTTTTTTTTATTATAAATGCAACAAAATTTATTAAATACTTTGAAAAAAAACTTTTTTTGATTATTTTTTTTTGCAGCTCACTTAAATCAGTGGCTGAATTGAATCAAAAAAAAAAATTTTGTCCATATACTAAAAATAGAAAAAAAAATTCATTTATTTTCACTTTTGAAATCATCCCATATCATCGTTATGGTTACGAATTTTTTTAATGTTCTAAATTTATACACACATGAATCAATGATAGTTTTGTTTCGTTTGAATGGGATATATACCAGTAATTATCGATGATCAAAAGACTGTTGTTGTTGTTGTTGTTTAAGTATTTAGTGGTCGTTTTTTTCTCCTTTCAATTTTTCATTATCCATAATCAATTTATGAAAAATAAGTTTACATAGATTTCAAATCATTGACCAAATCATTCATATAAAAGCCACAAAATACAAACCAAATGGAACATTTTATCTGATCAAAAAAATAAATCGGAACTATCATCATCATTGGACATATCATTACAGTCAAGCAATAACCAGGAAATTTAAAACGAAAAGAAATCATTTCCAAATCATTTTGAAATATCTGGAGAAAATATCAAAAAAAAAAATGAAAAAAAACCGATGTGCACATATGAAACTCAACGTTTATTTGTATAAATACCTAGTTTATATTTAATGAACAATTTGTTCATTTTTTTCCATTTCATTCAATCAGATTATAATCATTGTGAGAAAGAGTGAAATGATGTTTTTTAATCTGTGCATATACTATTTCATTTTTTTCCCATTTACATTCAACGAAAAAAAATGATGTTTACTTTCATCGATAGATTTAATAAGATAAAAGGAAAATGCCATACAAAAAAAAATAACGAAGATTGATTTGATCTGGTCATCATTTCGATCACTTCCAGTTACGTTTCTTTTGTTAATATAATGCTTCAAACAATCAATTCGTCATTCAACACTTCTGTCTGTCATTGTCTATTCAAATGTAAATGAAAATAATAGAATACATAATGTACATTATTAAACTATTCACTTAACTGAAAAAAAATCTATCTTTTCCAATCAAAACTAATCAAATAATAAATTCTTCCCATATCATCAAAATAGTGTTTGAAAATTCTTTTATTTTTTTGAAGTGGATAATAATAATTCAATGAAAAATTTCAATGTTAAAACAAATATAATGAAAATAACAACAATTCGAAGCATTCTAATCCAATAAGATTTTTTTTATATTAAAAACAAAATTAATCAACAAAAACAACATAGATAATTGACAACGAAATTATATTCACAAAGACTAGATACAATGATTTTTTTCAACTTGTAAATAATTTTTCCTTGTTCGACTTGTAGGTTCATTCTTTCAGTATGACCAAACGATAAATTTTACAATTCAGAATTTAAATTTCTTTTACATCAATATGAGCTTATTAGGATGATGATGTTCATCTGTTATGGAGATCATCATTTTGTTGATTTTCGGGAAAAAATAACTTATGGAATAATTCATAACAAGCATTCACAATACCCCAGGATAAAAATGAACGGCTATAATTAATATGAACACCGCGTAATAATCGGCGAAGATTGCGATCACGTTGATTGTAAATATCAATAGCCGCTTCAAATAGATTTAGATGTTTGGCTCCCGGTTGCTGTGTTTGCATTCGTGTACGAACCACATTTAATGGATAAAATAATGTAGATATTAATGCACCAACAATCGAACCAGATATAAAATCTTTTATCATTTCAGTCATGTATGATTCGTTGTTATCGACATTCTGTGGTAGATGATTTTTGATTTCATTCCGAAACGTAAAAAATAGAATGTTTGATGGGCCATTACGTAGAATAATGGCGGATAAACCACGATAATATTCTTTTATACCGTAAATACGTAATTTTTTGAAGGCATCCACTGTATTTGAATAACGATTATGAAGGCGATCATCCTTTTTTATTAAAAACAAAAGTAACAAATCATTAAATAGATAATTTAATCAAGCAAAATATTAACCTGTAAGAGCATTTGCACTCGTTCAAAAGGACACATAATAGCTTCAGTCGAGCCAGCTAAAAAAGCGGACAGACAAAAACGTGCATATGATGGCAAGAAATGATCAGCATAATGATCTAATAATGAATGATAGGTACCAAATGTTCCGAACATTATTGATAATGTGATTGAACGCTGTATTAACGGTGGTGCAATGCCACGATAAAGACGACCGATTCCTTCAGATTTTAATGTAGCAGTAGCTTTACGAACAGATTGTCCATGGAGCATTTGACGAAAAATTAATTTATTAATCGGGAACGTTGCGTAAACATTTACAATAGCAGCACCAAAACCACATAAATAATCGGATAGTTGATAACTATTAATTGATGGATGATAAACAATCTGTGTAACATTGTTTCCAGTTATAGATATAGATGTTGTTGTACTGCTATGAGGATGATGATGAGATTCCTGATGATCATTTTTATAATTTAATCTATTCATTTTTAATGACTGATAACGAAATTATGAATTTTTATATATATTAGACTAACAGCTTCGAATGGATACTAATTCATCCTCAATTACGTTGAACATAAACACATGCTGTAATGAAAAAAATTAAAATTTGAATGAATTTTAATAAAATTAGATAGTGATGATGATCTAATCTTAATCTTACTTTTAATTTGATTTTCAATTTTATAACAATCAGTTTGAAATCGTTCTAAAAATGGCATGATGATGATTATTATGAACCAAATTAATATCATAATTCATTGTAAAATTTGATGATTTTCTTTTACAATGATATGAAAATGATATAGCTACCTCATTATTATGAAACATTTTTAAAAAAATAAAATGAATTAATTAAAATTTAAAATTTTTTCGATCATTGTCACAAAAATGTCGAAAAAATTTCTTAGGAAAAAGTTTAATTCAATAGATGAGTATTGTTTTCGGATTCAATATGGAAAGACAAATTCTTTGAATTACAAAAGGTGGAATTATTGATATAATTAAATTAAAATGAAAACATTTTATAGCTCACACAGCTGATCAACATTTACAATTGGAATAACGGCAAAAATTTTACAATATATCAGATAGATGGCGTAACAATTAATTGAGAGTAACAAGTGTTCCATAGTACCGGAAACCATTTAAAAATGAACATTTTTCTTTTAATATGTAAAACCAGAATAAGAAATAGAAAGAAAGGAAATTTTATTATAAATTTATGATATCTGTTCTATAATATTTGAATCGATCATTAAACCAAAATCGAACGACACCTAAATGAATGCAAATTATTATGCTTAAATTATATTGAATGAGCAAAAAAAAAATTTTGAAGATAGAAAATAGAGAAATCTTCAGTACATATAGAAAATATTTGAATATAAAAAATGTAAATGTCACATTAGGACAAACATAACAACTAATCAAGTGAAACAAAGAGTGAGCAGCAGTTGAATGGCACCAGTTTCACGATTTAACGATGATTGAATTTTTTTCTGATTTTTAATAATAATGATAAGCTGAACAATATGGGTTGATTGGATGATTCGTTTAATGATAAGATCTTCCAAAGTTAGTCCTGAAGAGGGTATGAATCAAATATGAAAAAAGACAAAGATGTAACCATAGTCCTTGGAATGAAATTTACGAGCTGATTTTCGTTTATTTATGGTTGATTGTCATAAGGATTGGACATCACGTTTGGCAGTCGATGTACTTGTTGATTGTCTTTTAATAGCATTTTAAGAATTTCAATTCGGATATTGATGATAATCAAGAGGTTTCTGTTTGTAAGAATATCATGTTTGTAAGAACCATCAAAATAAACTTTAACGGATAAATTTGAAAAACTAACCCTGTGTCGATATAGAGGAATAAAATTGTTGATTCTGTTCATTATCATTAGTATTATCAGTTGCTTGCTGCTGTTGTTGATTAGTACTATCCGGTGATGCTGGTATTGAATTATGATGATTCAAAAGACCTAGACTTTCATTACTGATTATAGCTGCCATTGTATTGTCACTTATAGTATTTGATCCCAAATGATGAGTTAATTCAACTCCGCAATTATTGAGATAGGAATCACCGCCGCCAGAAGCCGCATATTGGACATGTTGAGAATTTGGGCTAACTCCTGAAACTGCAGCAGCCGCTGCGGCTGCGGCTGCTGCCGCAGCTGCAGCCATACCGCTGATTGATCCCGAGGTACGTGCAGATCCGAAATTGTTGCCACCACCACCATTCGTGCCACCAAAACCTATGCTACTTTGATGGGCAATATTCGATAAGCCAACAAAAGATGGCTGATGATGATGGACAGGAGTATGAGAATTGTTTGCGAAAAGATATGACGGAAGTGTGGATAGAAATTGTTGCTGTTGTTGAGAACTGGCTGAAACTAGACCATGCCTTAAAATAGTTGATGCAGAGACTGGAGCTGTAATTGCATGATTACCAGCAGCTAACATAGCTGAACTAGCAGCGCCAATATTATTAACATTGGCAGCTACGGCAGCGGCTGCAGCAGCAGAATTATTTTGATGTATGATTGATGATGACGTCGGTGTGTTTGTCATTGATTTTGGTTTCCGTTTCCGGGTCTGTATTTGATCTTTTTTCATTGTTAATGGGCGAGACACGCCATGCAATTTGAAATAAAGTCCACATGCGTTACAAACAGGATCACCATTATTATTTCGACGCCATAATGATGTTGTCGTTGTCGTACAATTTGAGCATTTCATTCCTGTGCGTCGATTTGTACTCTGTGAAAAGAGAATAAATAAGGATTTTAAAAATTAGTTGATTTAAAAACGTACCGATAGCCGTCGTTGATTTCGAACCAGTGGGCGACTATTGCCATTGGATTTATGATAAAGACCACATGCATTACATAAATAATGGCCAGTACCATCACGACGCCAGAGAGGAGTAGATACAGCGCCTAAAATGAAAATAATAATTTAATTTTTGGACAAATTTTCATGCAAAAAAACTGTACTAACTCTTACCACAATTGACACATTCACGAGCATCATTTGAGAAAGCGAAATTCGATAATGAACTGGATGGTGATGGTGATCCAATGATAGCGGGATTTCCATTGGGAGTTCCAGCATTGTCGAATGTAGCCGCATACATTGGAGTAGCATTGAATGTTGGACTTTGTACTGCACGACTACTAAGTGATCGTTGAGAATTTGGAGCGAAGAGACGCACGGCTGAATTAAGAGCAGGATTGAATTGTTGCACAACTAATTGCGGTAGATCAGATTGCGGTGATGATGATGAGTGATGATGAGCAATATGATGATGATTAAGATGATTTGCTTGAGATAATCCTGCAGCTAATTGCTGTTGTTGCTGATGATGATGAACAACAGCGGCCGAATTTTGTTGAGCGATTGAAGAATTCTGATGATGATTATGATTTAGAGCAAGATGGTTATGCCCATTATTATTATCAATATTAGTTGTTAATCGAACAGGAGACAAATGTGAACTAGCATCATTGCTATAGACAAAGTATGGTGATACTTGTTGCTGTTGTTGTGCCAATGTTGTTGCGATCACTTGTTGCTGTTCATTATCATTAATCATGACAGAATTCGAAGCCGATGCTCCAACAGAGTTTTTTGCTGTTGATAGAAACAGATGTCTAGATGTCGAAATTGATGTGGAAGGTGAAGATGAAGATGATGGCGGTGTTGAACGTGGCGGTGTATTTGTTATTATATGTTGTTGTGATCGATGCTGTGGTGAACCGTTTTCCGACAGATTCATTACAGGAGGAGTTCGATTGACAATCGTTGAAGATCCAGATTGAGATGATCCATCACCAATCGATGGTGATGTCGATTCGTGTACCTGATGACTGTTATTATTATTGTGTAAAGGCGATGAATTATTTGATGTGGTCAATGTCATGTTGGATTCTTGAATTTGATTCGATGAATGATTATTATAATTATAATTAAATTGTTGCTGTTCAAGGTCAGATAATGAATTGAAGTTCATTGATGGTGAATAATCGGATTGTGGTTGTGTAGAAGTTTTTTCATCAATCATATCCAATTTAAATGTTTTTCGTGAGGACGGTTCATCTTCTTCTGAAGATGAGTGATTTTGATTGTCGAAAAAATCTTGTTCATATGATATCTTACGTTTTGTTGGGCGGGTAGTTGATGTTGTTATCGAAGGTGGTGATGATTGCCAGGCAGCTGGTGAAGTGTTAACGGAATTATATTCTATTTGTTTACATTGATTGGAAAGAATACAAGAATTATCATCATTATTAGAATGATTAACATAATCTTTTGAATCCGATATATTGGTTAACTCGGTTAGGATTGGTTCGGTTCGATTTTGTTCATCGATAGCACTCAATCGATCGAATGTCGATGAATTAGAATCATTGATTTTATTATTGATAAGAGTATCGAAATTGACATAATTCGAATCACAATCAATGTGATTCAATGATGTCTTTCGTTCAATATCAATATTATTATTGACGACAATTGTTGTTTCTGTTGTTGTCGTTATTGCTGATGCCTTTGTCGTCGTATTCAATGATTCGGAAATAGGATAAAGGAAATGTTGGCCAACCTGATTTTGTTGCTGTTGTTGTTGTTTTTGTTCTAACACTTGTGGTTGCAGTTCTGTATTGACAATCAACTTTTTTTGAGGTGGTTGTGAATCTTCAGTACAAACACCGCCAAAGGAATTGTTGTTATCCGTTCGATAAATAAAACAGTTGTCGTCTTCGGCGTTATGCTTTTTAGCGATAAACGATTGTTCTGCCATTGAAAGCCTTTTTTGTTTTTCATCATCATCATCACCAACATAATTATGGTTACTGTTATTTGTAATGATAATTTCATTTTTATTTTCATCCCAAAGATCTTCGCCTAGAATCCATTTTTCCATCACATGAATTTCTTCATCAGTTGTTTCATTTTTATTGTTAGAATTATTAACAGCACAAATTTTATTGAATATTTCTGCTACTTTGGATGTCGGATCTTTTGGTTTGAAATGAGCGGCCGGAAAAGAATGCCAATTCTGTTTGCTGCTATTAAGTTGGCGTATGAACATCATGACGACTGAATGAATATTGCAACAAAAATTTTTTTCTCTATCTCTCTCTCTCTCTCTGTTTTTTTTCAAATGTCAACTAGCAGGGTCTTTTTATATATGTCTTAGTCAAGAGCGATGACTAAGACAACCTTTCAACTATTAATGAAATTTTCAGGCAACTTCGGTTGATAACAAGTTGTAAAACAATGTTTGTCTCTGTTGTTGTTGTTAGCATTAGTCACCTGTTCCATTATTTTTGATTTTTTTTTAATACAAAGAGATTTTTGAATTTAAAAAAAAATTTAACAATTCTTTGGGGTAAATGAGTCATTTTTTCAATGTACTGATACTAATTCTGTAATTTTCCATCTTTAAATGAGACTTTTTTCAAAAATAAACAAGATCGTTTGAAAATTTTAATCAAAATCGGAAACCGAACAACACGAGTTAATATCGGAAGAAAAATATTGAATTGTCAAAAATATTTGTTTTATATATACAAACCTAGATTATTGAAATTATAATAAAATCGTGTCTTTTCACTAGTTAAAGCATATTCATGTGTTGAATTGAGATCATAATTTTGATGATGTATTGATTGATCATTAATTTTATCAAGATCAGGTAAAATAAAATTCACAAATTGTTTATCTCGTAGTAATGAAAAATCATTCACATCACCCATTTGATGTTCGTTAAACTTTGGCGTAATCGACACTGTTGTTAGTTTTGTTTGAAAGCAGCGATCATCATCAATTGTGGATGTAGTAGAAACAATGCTTTCATTTTTGGATAATAATGATGATAATGATGATGATGTCTGATAGTTCAAGAGACAATTTGTCTTGTTGTCGTTATTATTATGGCTACTATGTAGTTTATTTGCGGTTATTTGCATCAATAAATTTCTACCTTCATCATCATATTGAATTTTGTCCAAAAATTTAGTCGGTCGCTGCTGACAACCGAATCTATTCGAAAAACATGCAGTTAAATCATCGCCAACACCAACAACAGCAACAGGAGTATTTTGTTGTTGTTGTTTAATCGATGATTCAGTTGTTGTTGATGTCGATGTTGTTGATATTTCTGATTGTTGTTGAGGTCGGGATCCTATCAAATGTTTATTTGACGATAATGTTGTTTTTACTAGGTCAACAATAACGGTAGACGGTGGATGAGATGATCCATACGATTTTGTTGTTATATCGGTGTTAAATAAATGATGATCATCATTGCCATCAGCAACAAAGCGATTATTTTCAATGATCGTCGGCGACGATGGAGACGATATTATCAATGATGATGGTGATGATGTTTGATTGTCATGTGCATCACATCTAAAAGTCGAATCATGATTGGGCGCCAATATTATATCCATATTCAATGTCGATCTTGATTTTTGGTCGATTATCGTTGTCGCTGTTGATGCCAATGAAGACCGTTGCTGTTGACACTGTTGTTCCATTATCTTCTCAGTCATATTATTATTGTTACATATATTTTGCTTGTGTATCATTGATGCTTTACTGTTGTAATAATTCAGTTTATCATTCCAATAATCTTCATAATCATCCTTATCATTATTGGTAGCTGCAGCAGTTATAAATGCTGGTAGTTCCATAATTGATTCATACGTCATTAGATCATTGCAGGTTGGTGGTGGTTGTGGTTTTTGGAGATGATAATCATCATCATTATCAGCCGAGATTTTTCTAATTGAATTAACTGCCATCTTAGGCCATTGAGATTTTGTTAATATTTGGTGATGTTGTACTGCATCACTATTATCATCAACCATACAAGCTGACAAGGACAATGATGATGATTGTGATAAAACATTAGTAACGGGTACTAAAACGCCATTATCATCATTATTATCAATCGATTCAGGTATATCGTTTAAAATACAATTTTGATCCGACAATCCATATTGTTTTTGTTTTCTTTCAGTGACAATTTGCTGTGATTCAGAATCTGAATCAGTTCCATAAAACGCTAACATAACATTCGATTTGACCAATGCATTTTTGGTTAATTTGGTTTTATCATTAACATTACTGCCATTTGTCTTTTTGGTTAATGATGATGCGCAATTATGAAATGACATTTCTAAATAATAATAATAAAAAAATTTGAATTAGAAAGAAAGAAACAAGATTCATAGTGAAATTTTTCAAGAATTTTTTCTTAATTAAAATAGAAAAAAAAACCGCCGAAATTTCAAATAATAATGCAAAATATAATTTTTATCAATACGCGCATACAAAAACAAAAATGATATTCATTTTTGCAACAATTTTTCATTCATCCAATATAATCACGATTGATTTAATAATAAACATTAATGACATTGAAATGAAAACATATCCACATCAAATAAGATTTCTCTACTTTTCATATCTTGAGTTTTAATCCGGATGAAAATTATTGTTGAACGATTTGACTGTTAATTTTTCATAATCATTTCGCCGCAATCACATGAAATTTGAATTCGAAGAGAAAAAAAAGAACTTTGAAATGTATCATAAATGGTTTGAAAAAAAACTTTTATCAACTGTGAAACAAGATGTTTCCGGATTATCATCTAATCGAACGATTTAGAATCAAAACTGAACTGACATATAGAAATTTTTTTTATTTATGCCAAATAGGTTAGTAGGTATATGACAATGTTATAAACTAAACTAACGATTTTTTTTGATGATACGGCAGTGGATTGACAAAATTTTCAATGACAAAAAAAATGAATAAAAATCAAAATGATATCATCAATAAATCACAATCAATCAATGATTAGAGATTGTGAGACTATACTGTGAGAAATTTGCATCTGAAATTTTTAAGATGCTTCGCTCAAAGCCTATGAATTTTTTTTTTTTGTTGTTGAAAAAATCGAATAGAAAAATAGATCAAATTATCCATTTTAAGGGTAAACTTAAAAAAATTACTGCCTACAACCAAAAAAAATGGCATCATTATGACTTTGTTTGAAGCAAAAAAAAAATTGGCGTTTCTGTTTGTTTTATTCTTATAAACAATGCCATTCAATTTATGAAAATTACCAGATAAAAATCAAATTTATTTATTCATTCATTTTTTTTTTGTTAAATTACAAAACCTAAAAAATAGGCGTATTTTGCGTATCCGATTGATGAAACCCTACAAAAAAAAATTTGGCAACCAAATAGGCAAAATTTATCAATAATATTCGTACTTTACAACGAGAGAGGTGTGTCTTAAAGTATTTTCATCAGAAAAAAATGAATCTATAAAAAGTTTTTCTCATTATTTTGGGTCTTATTTGGAAACAAACAAAAATTTTGCACAAAAAAAAATTTGATCAAACCAGCCAATCAATCGTTCAATAGATTGTACAAAGATAAGATTAGACAAAAAAAAATTAATAAATACGATTAAATTGCGTAATAACCATTTTCACATATATTAATGGTTGGTTTCAAATTGTTGATATTTAATAATAATGAAAAAATCAAATAACTACTAAGAGCTAAGCTAACTGGTTCGATTTGCTTATCTACAACATTCATTTATTGATAACGGGATATTATAATATCTACAACATAGACAGACATGTTAATTTAATGGACAAAATCTTAAATTGATTGATTTGAGATTTAAGCTAGAATCACTTAATATCGAATAGTCTTATTGCTGATGATGATGATGATGATCGTTTGCATATGTATAATTTGGTTATTCAAAAGTACCTTTAGAAACTATGGAATGCATATAATTTGACCAAAATTCATTAGAAGATAATTTCATCACACACGATTAGATTCACAGTAAAATTATATATTCTAATAAATAAACACAAAGTTAGTCATAGTTGAAGGTCGTAAATCATGATCAAAAATAAAAATCAGGAATATGAATAAACTCATATAAAAAGTACATTTTAGTGAGTGAGAGATTAAAAAAAAAAACAATATAATGACACTGTTATGAGTCAATCATGAAATTTTTATTTATCAACAAATTAAATCTGGAAAAAAAATGTTAAAAAACAACTCTCTTGAAACAATAGTAAATTGTTGGTCATCGTTTCAATGCCAACAATGAAAAAAAAAATGGTGTCTCATCATCAATCAGAATCAGAATCTTGATTCTTGTTGAAAACGCACAAAGTTTTCCTCTTGAATGTTAGACAACATTCATTCGAAAATATAATAATTTACTAAATCAATTTGATTAATTTTTAAAAGTTTAAAAGTTTACCTTCATAAATGTGAAAATTATTCAAATAACCATTATTCTGGAACAAAGCACACATGAAAATGAAATGAACAAATATTAGTGAAAAAGGAAATGGAAAAAAAGAAGTGAGTGAACGAGCATCATTTTCAATAGTGTCGCCCTCTTATGTTGCCCAATAGCATAATATTGTAGGAACATTTTTATAAGAATCATAACAAGAATTTTGATATCGAACCTCAAAAAAAAACAAAACAAAATCCATAAAAAAAACAATCACTTACCATTGTAGTAATATTGATCACAAATTTTAATCATTATTTGAAGCTTTTTTTTAGAAAATATCAAATTCGGAAATAATTGTTCACAATTTATCACTTAGTTCATTTGATTTGAATGGTCAATTTATGATTTACTTTTTATATTCTTCAAAATGAACTGGGTTCTTCATTGAGGTTTGTTTTGTTTATTTTCTTGTTTGAAACAATCCATTCTAAGGCGTGTTAAATGAAAAGGGTTGGATTTTCTCAAGAAAAAATTCGAATAAAATAACGGTAATTGATTTTTTTTTTAGAATTGCCAATTCCGAATATTGTTTTCTCACGCGTTGTTCAATTAGTGTTAATTTATGTGTTTACTACTTATTCGTCGTGGGTGATTATCAATCTTTTTTTATGATCTTTATATTTGTGTTTGTTTAGTTTGGTTTTTCAATTATCGAACCCAAAATTATCAATGACCAACTCACACAGACACAAGATCAAGGTCAGACCAAATTTTATTAGCAAATGAATCAAATGTTATTCACAGTTTTTGTTTTGTTTTGTTTTTGTTTATTGATATAGCGAACTGGTATGGTCAACGAATGGGTGGGTTCACTATCAGATTCAATCAGTTATTGACTGATTCATTAAAATGATTATCACCATCATTATCGATTGTGGACAAATTATCAAGTAAATTTTCTTTGAATTTATTTATAATTTAAATTTAGAATATTTATCATCAATTGATAAGAGTAATGTTTATTTTTTCACTTATTTTTTAGTGGGACAATAATTTTTGAGATTGTAAATATTGAAAAAAAAATTATAATTTTAAAGCCGTTTATTTTCATGTCTTGGTTGATGTGATTGATCCCAATCATAATAATTATCATCGGCCGTAATACCCATACGAAATAAGACATATCGAAATTGGTTCATCATCTGTCGATAAGGTGGTCGTTCATTGAAACGAATTTTTTTCACCAATTCAAGAAAATTTTCATATTCAATCGGCATGTTTGAACAAAGTTCTTTACTTGATGTTGTCATTTTAATTATACCGATCTGTTTGGTTCGTTCACGTAGATCGGCAACATTTAATCCTTGCCATGGTAATTGGCCTTTATGTAAAAAGATTATCATATAAAGTATTGCTTCAAGATCATCTCGTCGACTTAATTCACGACCCACATGATTATTGACACTAATATAACGTGCTGTACCAGTTACGCCTTTACCTTCCACATAGCTAATATGACGATTATCTTCATTAATGTATCTTTTGCAAAATCCTAGATCTACATACACATAAAGAAAATAATTTATTTAGTTAAAGTTCAGTGAAATTATTATTTTTCATACCTATCATATGGACTGTAGCCCATTTTGGCGTATTGGGTTGACCAAAAAGAAAATTATCTGGTTTAACATCACGATAAATAATACCTTGACTATGTACATATTCGAAAATATTAAGTATTTGTATCATTAATTTGGTTGTCGTAACCAATCCAAAATGACCACCACAAATTTGATTCATTTTTAACAACGATGGTCCAAGTAGATCCATTACTAGTGCACTATAATTTTTACAAGGACCAAAATAATGTATTTTTGGTATGAAAATCATATAATTTCCTAATGTTTTATAAAATCCATATTCTAATGGTAATTGTGGTTTATCAATATCAGCTCGTTCAACTTTAATGGCTACTTTTTCACCAGTTTCTGTATTCGTACCAATATAAAGCGAACCGAATGATCCACCCGTTACATAGTAACCAACTGTGAATAGAGAATTACCCACACGTTGATTGGCCAATACAGCTGGATCGCTTAGTGAATCCGTTCCGGATGCCATTTGTGTCCGTATACACATTGTTCTTTTTACATATTTCATTTATAACTATTTTCATTATACATTGTTAGAGCTTTAATTTAATTGAGAACGAAAAAAAAAGAATAATACATTTTTATTGATTGATCTTAATTCGATTTTCGAGATCAAACAATTTTAATCGTTGATTAGAACTCAAGTATTGTCTAGATTTAATAGTTTTTTTTGTTGATTTAGTTGTATCTCCTGTTTCCAATAACAACATGAGCATCACTAGACAAAAGGATTTTAAATTTATTTTTTTTTCAATTGTCTTGGTCTTATATGAATCAAACATAGTTTAGATACAGTGAATTGCAAAAAAAATAAAATTTAAAATCATCAGGAAAATCTAGAACAATACCGTTGAAAAATGAATCTGTTTTATAGCATCTTTTTAGCTTTTTTATTATTCATCGGTTTCTGTCAAGCCGATTATGGTATGTTATTATTCATTTGTAATTCTAAATTCAAATATTTATTATGTTTATGTGAGTATAGAAGATCTGAAAACTTTATCATTAAAAATTGGCGAAATGCAATGTCAAAATGTGCCAAAAATATCGGAATTTCTACGGAATTATCACACTTTAAAAAATGGTCCTAATTTTGGTGATGACTATGCTCAATTACAATCTATGTTGAATGAAACAAAAGTTTTATATTCAGCTTTAATGGATCAGATTAGTTACTATGCACAATCTGAACATGAACTATCGTTTTCAAATCAGAATTATTTCAATTTAATGATCTATTGGCATATACGTTCGATACAATGTCAAAGTTTATATATGGTATTTAAATGGATCGAACAAGACTTGTTACGATATCGTGAAGATCATTCTTCCAAGCTTCGTGATGTATTCGATGATGGTCAATTTCAAACAAAGATGACAAATTATATTAAAAAACATTATTTGTCCGATTTGGATATCCTCAATCAATTGGATTATGATATATTTGATTTTGTTCGAAAGGCCGCCAAACATGTGGATAAAAATAGCATTATTAGTACGCTACAAAAACTTCATGAATTATTTGATGTAGTTAATAGTGGCCTTACCAAAGATATAATTTCACCTGCACATGATGATCTATATAAAAATGGATTAGATTTTTCCATGCAAAGCCATGTATTGATTACTTCAACACTTAGTTATTACCGTTGGCTAACAGATTTTATGCATCAATATCAGGAAATATTCCAAAAACATTTTCCTTGATTAATATAACAAAATGTTACAATATTTTTTGAAAGTTAATTGTTAATTTTTATTAATTTTTTTTTTGTTTCATTTCTTTTGGCACAAGTGCTTAGGCAGCGTGCATCAATAAAAATTTATTATTATTAAAAATGTTACAATTTTCATTACCAATTTCATTTAAAAAATAAATAAATAAAATTGAAACAATTTCGCATTATGCCTACTAATGATAATCTTAAAATAGTTAATTTTCTATCAATTTTTAACCTTGATTAGACCAAGGTGATAATTGCTACTGTCATCAATACCTTCTCTCTATTTTGAGGAATCACATCACAAAATTTTCTGATTCTTTATTACGACAATATATAAATTAACTGATGATTCAAGGATAATTCAAGGATCATAGATATAAGAGTATTTGAATGAAAAATTTTTGACAATTTTTTTTGCATTCATTTTCCTTAAAATTATGACAATACAATTTAATCTAGACAATAAGAAAAAATGAAATTTGAGATTATTTTTACAATTTTTTTAATAGTGACCATTAAAACTCATGAACCTATTAAAACATTTGAACAATTCAAAGTAAGTAACTTGATGTCTTTGATTTCAATCAGAATATAATCGTTCAAATATTGATTTTTGTAGAAAGTTTTCCATAAACGATATTCCAACATAAATGAAGAAAACACGCGTCGAAAAAACTTCGAAAATGCATTGAAATATGTGGAAGGCAATAAACGTCGTGGTGTCAAAATTACCCAATTTGCTGATTTGGTTTGTATATAGTAGAATTGTGATTAGATTTATTTATCAATTTATCAATTCATAAAATTTAGAGTTTAGAAGAATTCAAATCAAGATATATAATGGATGCTAAAACCTATGCAAATGTGAAAAAGAGAAATTTTTATAGTTCTGGTAAATGTCAGATCAAAGATATTCATTTGCCGGCATCGATTGATTTACGAAAATCAGGTCATGTAACACCGATACAGAATCAAGGTTTATGTGGTTCATGTTGGGCATTTTCGGCTATAGCAACTGCAGAATCAGCATTCTTAGCATCGAATATTTCAGTTAATCTTTCCGTACAAGAATTAGTCGATTGCGCTTCTGATCATGGATGTAATGGTGATGATACGATTACTGGTTTTGATTATATTATGGAGAATGGTGTTGTCATCGAAAATGTTTATCCATACACTGGCTACGTGAGTATATTTTTCTATCTAGAACAAAGTTGATCATTTAATTTATGATATTCCAAGAAAAATAATTGCAATAGTCATGATACAAAACGATATAAGATTTTTAGTTATTGTCTAATCTCTTCACAAGATGAAAATAAAATAAAACAAACGCTGGCTATCACTAAAAGTGCCATTTCAGTAGTGATTACTATTGGTGATATTGATGAATTCCGTTATTATGAGTTAGTTTTTTTTCATATGAATTTTTCTAAATTTATAACATTTAATCATTTTTTTTGTCTCTAGTGGCAACACTTTAATCCGTTATGATAAGAATTATGGTTCAAATTATCATGCTGTAAACATTGTTGGCTATGGAACAATACAAGGTGTCGATTATTGGATTGTACGAAACAGTTGGGGTGAATATTGGGGTGCCGATGGTTATGCTTATCTTGAAATGCATAAAGATTTAATGGGCATCGATGAATATCCACTTGTTGCCATTGTATAGAATAATTAATTCATTTTCATTAATATTTCGTTATTAATTATTCTTTGTATAAAAAGTTTTGAACTAAGTTATAAAAATGTCCCAATACATCCTATTAAAGACTTATCTGTATTTTTAACAATAAAAATTCGTATTAACCAGTAATATCTTGTACTAATGTTTATAATTATAATCAATCGATATCTTTTTTGATCCGTTTATCTTGAAATGAGCCAACAATCTTGAGAAATGAAGAGGATCATCAATTAATTATTAGATATGATTCTTTACTACACACTTACATTTTAAGCCATATTCAACAAATCAATATACTTGTTCACATACAAACCACGAGAACAAAGATAATGATGATATAGGATTTAATTGTAAAAATATTACCTGAAATCACCTGACTGTCGCAATTAGTATGCAATGACAATTAAACAAGTAGTATAACTAATTGAAATCCCGGATCTAAAATCAATTAATTAATGCCAGGATCAATTGATGATATCGTTGATATTGTTATCATTTTTCATTTGTGATTTACCCATTATTCGATTCATATAAATATCATTTCAATCCATTCGATCATCATCATTTCCATTCTTTTTTCTTTCTCTCTCTAAAATCTAAAATCCATCCAACATGAAAATTACTTTGGCCATCGCCTCATTGTTGGCATTGAGCGCTGTTTATGCTCGTCCATCATCGATCAAAACTTTTGAAGAATACAAAGTTTGTTTTTGATTTATTCTGTTTTTTTTTCCATTTTATATAATTGCCATTTATTCTTGTTTCACCTTTGTTATATATTGTAGAAAGCCTTCAACAAAAGTTATGCTACCTTCGAAGATGAAGAAGCTGCCCGTAAAAACTTTTTGGAATCAGTAAAATATGTTCAATCAAATGGAGGTGCCATCAACCATTTGTCCGATTTGGTAAGTTGATAATCATTGATATGTTTATTGAAAATTTTAAAACCAAATTCTTATTATTAGTCGTTGGATGAATTCAAAAACCGATTTTTGATGAGTGCAGAAGCTTTTGAACACCTCAAAACTCAATTCGATTTGAATGCTGAAACTAACGCCTGCAGTATCAATGGAAATGCTCCAGCTGAAATCGATTTGCGACAAATGCGAACTGTCACTCCCATTCGTATGCAAGGAGGCTGTGGTTCATGTTGGGCTTTCTCTGGTGTTGCCGCAACTGAATCAGCTTATTTGGCTTACCGTAATCAATCATTGGATCTTGCTGAACAAGAATTAGTCGATTGTGCTTCCCAACACGGTTGTCATGGTGATACCATTCCACGTGGTATTGAATACATCCAACATAATGGTGTCGTCCAAGAAAGCTACTATCGATACGTTGCACGAGTAAGTTTGATTTCGAAAAATCAAATTCGATTAACATTCATCAAATTTTTTCTAAAAATTTATAGGAACAATCATGCCGACGACCAAATGCACAACGTTTCGGTATCTCAAACTATTGCCAAATTTACCCACCAAATGCAAACAAAATTCGTGAAGCTTTGGCTCAAACCCACAGCGCTATTGCCGTCATTATTGGCATCAAAGATTTAGACGCATTCCGTCATTATGAGTAAGTTTGCCAATCAATTGAATGATGCAATAAAATTAATGTTTTATTATCAATTTTTTAGTGGCCGAACAATCATTCAACGCGATAATGGTTACCAACCAAACTATCACGCTGTCAACATTGTTGGTTACAGTAACGCACAAGGTGTCGATTATTGGATCGTACGAAACAGTTGGGATACCAATTGGGGTGATAATGGTTACGGTTATTTTGCTGCCAACATCGATTTGATGATGATTGAAGAATATCCATATGTTGTCATTCTCTAAACAAAAAGACAATTTCTTATATGATTGTCACTAATTTATTTAAAATCAAAATTTTTAGAAAATGAATAAATTCATTCACAAAAATTAAATTTTTCTCATTTGTTTCATTTCTATTTTTTTTATTCATCAAGCAATGATCGATATGATTGTTATGATTAAATATTGCGAGCTATATTAGAGTTTTCCAAAGTTTTTCTTAGTCACGAAGAAAAAAGAAATAAATTGACAAAAAATAATAATAAATTGTTTATTGAATTTTGTAAATGGAATCTTATAAATAGATATAATCACAATGTAAATGTATGAAAATGCCAATCTATAATACAGAATTGATAATTGGGGCGTTTATCAAACAATTGCAAATTAGATCTGAATCATTCTGAAGTTGAAAAAAACAATCAAAATTACGATATGCAAAATTGTCATTAAATGACATAAGAAAAAAATTGATTCAACAAAAATTGATATAAGCAAAACTCAAATGTAAATGTTGACTTTTTGCTCTTCATAGTTTTTATCGACACAATTCGGATGATGTACACTCGTATAATGATCATCGATTTGATCGACTTCTATCGGTGGTAATAATACTGGTTTATTTGATTCTGATGCAAGGTTTTCATGATCGGAATTAATTTCATCACTGTTTTCAACTATTGAAGGTTGTTTCACAGGAAGAGGCGGTGGCTCTTGTTTAATAACAGATGCTGTTCCATGGTTTATTTTTGTAATCGAGACATTTTCATTCATTTGATTGTGGTTATTAATCTGATTCAATGAATTCTCCAACATTTCGGTCATAGCCGGTATTGAAGCGATCACCTGTTTGACCGCTGGATTATTAGCACATTGATTACACCCAATGCATACCGCATCATGACAGATGATCGATTTTTGCTCTTCGTCTTGATGGCCAGTTGTCATCATCACTGTAGCTGACTGGCCGTAATTGATATTTGTTGTCAATGTAGGCTGTTCAATGGAAGATTGTGGTGAGCGAACTGTGTTTTGTCGGGATGTTGAACAATTAGTGCTACTTAATGAAATCATGCGATGATTACTTGGCGTGGTAGGTTTCGTTGCCCAATGTAATGGTTGTGCACCGACGCTTGCAGCATAGATTTCTTCTTTCGAGGTTAATTTATCTTCTTGTGTATAATATGTAGCTCCATGTTTCCTATAAATGGCTATGACAACTAATATTAAAGCGACCAAGCTGAGGATGATTAAGAATGCTAATATGAGGCCCACTTGTGGTTCTGACGCCGTAAGCCGCAATTGGACTTCTGGATTTGTACACCATTCAAGCTCATGATTCAAGCCCGGTTCGTGAAGATATCGTCCTTCCAATGATGATGGGATCGAACAACGAGCACAATGAATTAATCGATTCGGGTCATCAGTTAATTTTGGACAAACTTTCCAATATTCAGCCGGCTCATTATTTAGCCAATCGATGAATGGTAATATTTGGCAACGGTAACATGAAAAAGGATTGCCATGCAGATAAACTTCCGAAAGAAAATGCATATTTTGAAACATTAAAAATGTGCTCGGATCAATGAATGGTAATTTATTGTTGGACACATCCAATGTAGTCAACGAAACGGCTACCGGACTTAAGAGACGACTATTTAGCTCGGTTAAACTGTTGTTGGATATATTGAGAAACACTAACGATTTCAAAGAATCAAACGTTGATTCAGGCAGTGATTCATCTAGATTGATTTCAGCTGCAGATAAAAGTTTTAATCGACGCAACGGCTGCAAAAGGGCGACCACTGAAGAAGGTGAATCAATTAAATATCGATTTCGATCAATGTATAGTTGCTCTAGTGAATAAGAAATTGGTTCCAGCAAGACAGCACTGAACGATGTTATTTTGTTATTGGATAAATCGAGTTTTTTGATGGCATCTGCTAAACAAAACACACAATTTGTTAACGGATTTATCAGATTGTTCGATAAATCTAAACGATTCAAATTAAGACCAGCGAATATTCGATCCGGTAAGACAGTTAATGAATTGCGATTAAGTAGAAGAACGCGCAAATTCAAAAGACCTTCAAATGAAGAACGATTCAAATGTTTCAGATGATTATCACTGAGATCCAAGTATTCCAAATTTGTCAGTTCTAGTTGATAAAAAAAAGTTTAATTATCATTTCACATAGCAAATTGAACATACCTCGGAATGTAAAACCATCAATTCGAGTCAATTGACAGCTATTCAAATTAAGAAGACGAAGATTCGGTAAGCCTCGAAGTTTATCAGATCGAATTTCAGACAAAGGATTCCCACTTAAATCGAGTTCTTCTAATTTATTCAACAAATGAAACATCAAAGGAGCTAGTTGATTAATCTTATTTCTTGCCAATGATAATTTCAGTAGACTTGATAATTTAAAAAATGCAGCTGATGGGAAATCAGATGAAAGATTATTATCGCTCAAGTCTAAAGATTCCAACGAATCAAGGCAGTAAAAATTTCTTTGTACAACAAATTTGATATTATTATGGCTAAGATCAAGAATTTTGATCAAGAATTTGCAAGGATTACAATGAAGTGGACAAAATGTGAATTCACCGATTGCTGGTATTTTACTTTGTGTTATTCGGATTTCTTCTAAATTTGTCATTTCATAAAATATACGCCCCAATTTCAGGTCGTTATATCGATTTTGTTTAGGTGTGATGCTGATCACCTATCAATAAAAAAAAGTGACATTTCAGAATTTTGGAAATTAATTAATATATTTTTTTTACCTGAGTCTCTGGATCCATTTTATCGATTGGTATGTTTTCTATCAATTCTGTACAAGTGACCGTTTTTCGTTTTTGATCATCAACATCACAGACACATGGTGGCGATGGACAACGTTTAGGTAATAAAGGTGAAAAAAATGGCGATACACTATTGGCGAAAACTAAAGATTTATTCGAGCTACCACCACCACCACCAACCAATATAAGGATCATAACCAGAAGCAGATTGATGATCACCGACATCATAGTCCTACATGAAAAAAATTGGATCAATTTAGAAAGGGAAAATAATCTTTTTGTTCATTTTATTTATTAGATAATGAAAAACAGAATATCGGTTTTTATTTTCGATAGAATAAAATAGATTAGAATCATCAAAAAAAAAGGTGTGGTTCAAACCAAAAGAGGAAAAAAAATCTCATGAAATCATCAATTTTATTGCCAGTGTGTATCGCGAACAAAATTTTATCTAATCAACAACAACAAAAAAAATTTGTATGTTCTAGTGTGATCTTTTGATTCGAATTCATTCTTTATTCTTCAATTCCTTGGCCTCATTTTTCAAAAAAAAATATTTTAGAATTTGCTATGGTTTTAAACAGGACTTTTAATCCTATGGGAAAAAATCCACGTATTTGTACATTTTATAATGAGTTATAGTAATGAGAAACAATTGAAACATTTATCATCATTTTTTTCAGTCAAAACAATGTCAAGTATGTGCACTTTAAAGATTTTTTTCCCAAGAAAAACTTTTAGAAATCAATTGGAAATAATTTTTTTTTGCCTTTTTAAAGATCAATCCAAGACTACATTGTAATCATAAAGTTTTTCCCGATGAATTTTTCTGATATAGTGTATAAAAACATAATGGCGAATATAATGACATCAATCGCAATCTTTATGGTCTTGTTTTCCGGTAAGATTATAGATTCGTAATATTAATTATTCAATCTTTAAAATTTCTTTTAAATCAAGGAACATTGGCACAATCATTATTTGTTGATTATAATGATTATTCATGTGGTTCAAGTCAAAATGAAACCAATGAATTAATCCAAGAATTTAAAATATTTAAAAAAAATATCAACGGAAATGAAAATTTTAAAAAGATTAATGATTTTATTGAGAAAGCACGATTATTTCGTGATAATGCAGCCAAACAGATGCTTGAAATCGATCAACAATTATTGACTCTAAATGTAATACAAATATCGCAACGTATAAAACTTGAACAAAATAAGATTCAATGTGAAAAATTAACAAAATTTTCCGAATTACTGTCAATGCAATTATTGGCTTATGAAGTTGGAATGTTTGAATTTGCTGAAGAAATAGATCCGAATATTGATTTTGATCGTAAAATGAAGAATTTCTTAGACGAAACGTCCCGATTATTTAACTTGGCGGAATTTGAAAAGTTGGAAAAGAAATTTCGAAATGCAACATCGATAGAAAAATTGAAAAATTATATCGATGGGGAATTGGTAGCGTTAAACGATTATATAAATGAATTTTTAAAGGACATTATAATGTCCGAATTTACTGTTCAATCACGTTATTATTTAAATTTTTCGATTGAAGATCAAGTTCAAATCGATTCAACATTGATGACATTTAGTGCATTAAAAATTCTTCTTAATGACCTAAAGGATTATCTCGAGCATTTAGATAATTAATAATGCTAATTTTTAATATCAAAAATAAATGGACAGTTTATCTAAATGAATTGATTGATTGATTGATTAAAATGCAATAAAAATCCTATTCTATCATAATGTTATGTCTTTATAAATGTTTGTTATTGATTATTTAACGATTGAACTTTGAACAACAACAACAACAAAAAATCTTTGACAAACAAACGGTCATGTTGATTCAATCAAAATATTTGTATAATTATCTATGAATGTTCAAAGTTCAATATAGGATCACATTTCATGTTTATTGATTTGTTATCGATCTTAATTTAGTTAGAATTCAATAATTTTTATTTGTTTTGTGGCTAATGTTGAATGAAATGATGAGTTTACAAGTGGTGAAATTTAGATAACAACTACAACAACAACAAAATAATTATGCCAATAAAGGAATTGGAATTGAGTTTTTTTCTCTTATAAAATAACATTTGTTGTCGTCATGTAATGAGATTCAAGATAATAATAAATTGGAAAAAAATCATGGATTGAAATCCACTTGTGGATAAAATGGATCATTTTATTTTTTTGGTGTCATTGGTTATAATTTACTATTTATGAAAAGAAACAAAAAATCATATATCATAATGATGATGACATTTTTATGAAGATTTTTTTTAGCACACAAATTTTTGGTTTTGATGGCAAATGAAGAATCCATCTAAATAGTGAACCAATCTTAATAGTTTGTTGATATTCATTATCATTCGTTATATATTTCATTAATAATATTTATAGATTTGACAAGACGATAACAACATTAGAATTATCATGTAAACTAAAAATAAGTCATCATCATCATTGGCTAAAAATGGAAAAATCGACCAATGGAAATAAAAGAAGAAGTCATCAATGGCAACACATTAACAACATTAACAAAAGGACATTTCATATGGGATTTTTGTTTGAATATTTTTAGAAATGAACAACAAAAAAAAATTCAACAATGAATTGATTGGGGACAATTTAGAAGAAAAAAATGTTGTTTATCAACAATTAGAGATATTCTCTTAGATGGAACAAAATACTTTATACATACCTGGTTTAAATACTGTTTTTTTTTTGGGAAAAAATTGACAAATAAACGGAAATGAATATTAGAATCTGTTGATTGAATGAAACATTTCAAAAACGAAATATTGATTTATTTATTCGAATGAATCCAAAACAAAAACAGGAAAAAGATTGATGTACAACATTTTTGAACGGATCAATTTTTGAACTCAGAATCGAATCATTTGTTGAAATACTGTTTTTTTTTCTGCAATCAGTTTGCAATCAACCTGATTTGACGAAGAGAGAGAGAAAAAAAATGACTAATCTCGAACAGGATTTTTATTCGAATGCGACAACAAATTTTTTTTACGCGCGCACTAAACACTAAATATATTTTTTTCTTCGGTTCATATGACGAGTGTCAAAAAAAAGACCATTGCCAGCCACATGGAATTATATGAAAAGAAGATCTCGAAATCATGCAACAGTCACCATATGTGGATTCACGAATATACCACTACGATCGATCAATATTCAAAATGTGTGTGTTCTACCCTCAATTTTCAGTTATATATAACAAACAGACAAAAAAAAAACACAGAGAAATATGTACCAGAGTCAAGTATATTCGGGTAAAAATTTTAATTTTCTATTACCCACGATCTTTCTTTTTCATTTTGGTTCTATTCTATTTATTATTTGTCGATAGGTCGATCTCTATTTGTTATGTGGCAGCTGTTTCCGAAACCAACAAACATAGCCAGTAAAGTAAAGAGAAATAGAGAAAAAAACATCATGATGATGATGATGATGATGAATCAAAGTAAGAAACCAGAAAAAAAGAACGCCTTGTTTGTCGTGGTTTTAATCTTGATTCTTTATGTATCTCGTTTTTTTTATTATTGATGACAACATATTGTTGGCATTTGTTTTTTTTCCTGACCATCATATCATCTGATGGAAAACATGATTCAAATTAATTAATTATTATCATTAATATTTTTTTTTGGGTGTTGTTTTGAAGCATTGAAGAAGAAGTGAAAAAATGCTGTAATCGAAAATGATTTTTTTTTTGTTTTGAAAAACATCTAGCCATTAATAAAGCGGATTATCAATCAAATTGGTTACCCAATTTTTTTTTTGAATTTCAGGACCGATAGGAAATTGTTATGAGTAATCATATATACAGGATTATCAACCGCAGTTCACACATGCATACTCACACCGAAAACAAAACAAAACGATCGGATACAAATGGGTCTGGTCTGTCCTTATTTATATTTGCATCGGAGAACAAAAATTTTTCATTCATTCATTCATTCATTCAAAATTTTCTCCACTTCAAAAACTAAATACAATGGATTTTGATTATAAACTTTTGGTCACAATTGGTATTGTTCCATACATAGAAGCTAGGGCTCGAAGCCCTTACACTTCATTGTTGTCGTATCCGGACCTTAACACCCTACATTCGAACACTATTTACACACACACACAGAGTTTTGATGAACTCAGCCAAATGTGTTTATGAGGAAAAATAAATTGTGAGCATTCGAATCGTTGATTACATTTTATTATTGTTCAAAAACCATTGAAAGTCAATTTTACCGGTGTGTTTTTGTTAATATTTAGAAAAAATAATAATTGTTTTGTAACAAAACTTTTAGTAAGTTCAAGTATATATTCGACAAATTCATTTCAATCGGTATGCTTCGGGGTGAAATCTTTTTTTTGTTGTTGACAGGATAAAAATCAAAGTTTATCGAATCGTAAGATGTTTGTATGTTCACTACCGATGATTATCAATAATTTAATTTCAAATTCTGTTTACGGTGGACGAATAACAATAACCATCAGTTAACGAGCTGTTAAATATCGAATGTTGTTTCGATTAATAAAAATTGAAGAGTTGGGAAGTGAAAGGAAAAAAATTCATTCGGAAATTCATTTTACTGATTACTTACTTGGATTTTTTCTTTGCAATCGTTACCATCACCGATGATGAGAAATTAATTATTCGAATTCAATCTTAATTATCATCATCATCAACAATGATAATGAATATACTGTATCATCTATAATTTTGCAAACATAATCATTTTAATTTTATCATGCTGTGAAAAGTAAAGTTTAACGTGTATTTTGGCTTCGATAAGAATATTTTTCCTGATGAAAAAATCAATTATTTCGTGTTTTTTTTTTGTTATATTCGGGCAAGTTTAAAAACTACATTATGTAATTAACGATTCGACTGAATGAGGTTTTTATTTCGATTAAAAGTTTGTAATGTTGATGACCATAAACCCAGACTGTTTCGACTTTTCAATTCCAAATACTTGATCATAATCATTGTCACAAAAAAAAAGTTTTTCGAATTTATAGATTTTGATAAAAAAGAAAGAATTTCAAGAATTTTTTCGGTCAATTTTAGATTTGAAATACAAATTAATGATAAGACATAAGAATGTCTTGAAATCATCTTATTGCCAAAAAAAAACTAAGGAATAAAATTTCGTTTCATTAAACAAAATTTCAATCAGGCTTTGTTCGTGATGCACTTTACAGATGCATTTTGCAAACAATAAATTCCACATTCATTCTTTTATTTTTTACAATGTTATTGTTGTGTAATGAAGCATACAAATGTCTCAAATATGATATAAGAATTCTTTCTTCGAATTCACCAATAACATGTTATGATACAATGAATTTGAAATGAATGTTGACATTATCCTCGATATGGATGTTTGCCTAATGATTCGATATGCAAAGGGATGATGATGATGATTCATGACGATCCTCCTTTAACATGTCGTTTGAATATTATTCTGTTTTATTATCATCATTATCATCGGTGCATCATCATCATTCCCAAAGTGGATATTTTTATTTAAAAAAAAAAAATATTTCTTCAAACAACACTCGTGAAAAAAATGGAATATTCTAATGTTATTTGTATTATTATTATACGAAAATTGTCAAGTTTTTTTTTGCAATTTTTTATGAAAAAAAATGAATTGAAATCATATTGAATTGAATCAAGTCATCAGGTTTTATTCTCTTTTTATACTATCCATTCAAAAATCATCAAAGACAAATATATGGCTTTTTCTATGGCTTGATTTTTTTTATTCATTCATTCATTCATTCAAACAAACATATTTTTTTCCGATTTATAAAAAGTATGAATCACCCTTTTAATATTTGATATATTTCTATTCATATTTTGTATTCGGTATTTTTTTTGGATAAATAATAATGTTGTTGTTTGCGGAAAAGAGAGATCGTGACCACATTTCCGGACAGTTTTATGATATCATAACAGCATGCCGAAATGATCATTGAAAGTAACAGAAAATTAATTTACGGAAATAATTCGTGTTTGGAATAAGATTGTTAAAGCTGAAGAAGAAGAAGAAGATACAAAAGTCGAGTAGATTATTGTTTGATAATTTTAGCTTCTAGGCTTTTTTTCTCATTTAGATTTTCTATATGAGAAGAGGTATCAAAATGAAATGTGAAAAAAATTATTATTTTATATCGATAATTGAGTATTTATATGGTCTTACAACGAAATAAAAAACCCAAAGCAACTACGAAAAAAAAGAAAAGAAACGTGCTATAATAACAAACGTAAACATGAATTCGGTTCACTGAACAGATTCAGGGATGCTGAATTGAATTGAATTGAATGAAAAAAAAATATAAACCAAAATCGCATCAGTATGAGTCATACGAACCATATCTAAACAAGTTGATGCGGACGAATGAGATGTTACAATCATTTATACATTTATTCTTTCACAATTTATACATTTATCCATCCATTCGAATCTAATGAAACCTTACTGCAATCATATATGACACAAGCGATAAGGGTCTGAATTTTCCATTTTTTTTGCATTCGTTCAAATTCATTCAGTAAAAAAAATTTCACGGCTGTTTAGAACAATTCCTATGAAAAAAAAACTTTAGTCACAGCGGAATCATCATCTAATTCCCACATCTAATAATAATGTATATATGGATACGTTGTTAGTTACAAACACAGACACACACGCGCTTGTAAAAAAACATCGCGACAGGATGTCCTCATCGTTCAGGAATTCAATATGTACATCAAATTTTTTTTTTGAAAAATATGAAGAAAAAACAAAAACAACAGAATTCAAACCACAAAAAAAATCTATGGTTAATAATGATGATGATGATGATGATAATTAATCATTAATTATATGATGATTAAGCCAAGATTAATCGACCATCATTATTAACGATGAATCAACAACGAAAAAAGTTTTTCAATCAGAATTTCAAATGATAAAAAAAAACCAAATTATGTAAATTATTATATTCTTTTTGTTATTATCAATGAAATTCCATTCAATTTGATTTGATTCGATTTATCGATCTTTTTCAATAAAAAAAACATCTAATCATTGAATTATTATTACAGAAATCGTAGATACCGAAACGAAAGATGATACAATTTATATAAATTTGATTGTAATAGAATAGGAAAATAATAATAATAATAATGAACAGATGTGCCGATAATCATACATACATAGTGAATAAACACTAGAGATTTGGTGAACGACCCATCGACCAACCAACCGACCGACCAATTGATTCGCAAACATACAAACAAACATACTCGTAATAATCATCATCATAATCTAATGTGAATCCAAAAAGAATTATAGGAAATAGTTTTGTTGTATAAATACTAGATAGTTGGAGAATATTTGTTCTTTTTTTTTCTTTGGTTATCAGCAAAAACAAAAATGTTTTTGAAGATAAAAATAAATAGATGATTACGAACGATAAGAGCACGTGTTTGGCGGTAATAGTTCAGGATCTGTTTGTCTTTATTTGTGTTTAGTATAGAGGATGTGTGTTTGTGTTTGAATAAAGAAAATCTGAGCTATGCAATCAAATTTACCAAAAGAAGAATGTTGATGATGATATGATTGTAGCTTGAAGCAAATAGATGGAGAAAAAATCTAATGATGATGATGAAGAAAATAATAATTAACATCATCATCAAACGAATCAAGGTTTTAATTAATTTTGATTCTTGCACGTGTTTTGTCATATATGAATATATGGTAGAATTCTTTTGTTTTTTGTTTTTTGTGGGGTTATTACAATATACCAGCCATGTGGTTATAGATCATATGAGAATCCGATTTTCAATGTAAAAATTTAAATTCCCAGATTGTGTGTGCATGCTGTGTGTTTGTATTTGTTTTAGGGAAAAAACATATAAATAATGATGAATTCATGTACACATGGCCAAACATTGAACAATTCTGCGGTCAGATTGTATTCTCTCCTTTGTTTTTTTAAAAAACAAAACGATGTTCAAATTTATAATTTTTTGTTATTAACAATGATTAATTGTAATTTAACTTGCCAATATTGAAAACTATCAAAAAAAAATCAAAGTTTTATTTTTTAGCAAAAAAAAGCAAAAGATTCTAGAATCTAGATTATTGTAGTCATAACAATTATCTAAATCAATCATTCTGTTTTTCTGGAAATTCAAACATTGACAATTAATTGTCTATTTCATTTGAATTGTTTTGAATAAAAGAGAGACAAACATATCTAAATATAACACAAACTAGATATAATCAAATGAAATGAAAAAAAATTCAATGATTTTTAAATGTTGTAAGAGACAAAAAAGAAAATGTTTGGATCAAAACAAATTCATGAGTTCATCATTGCCATTTCATTCATTCATTGATTCATATGTTTATATTCAATAAATAAATGGAAAACAAAAATCAAGATGTAAGAAATGTTTGTTTATTTTATCCTTTTTTTTCGTTGTTCCTCTATAATTATTTTGTTCAACAACATCAGTTTACCACTCAAAAAAAAACATGACAATTTCAAGTGATTCCGGATTTTTTTTTTCGGTTGTTGATGAAAACAAAATTAAATACTCATTGAAATAAATGTTTATCCTGTACCACGAACAATAAGCCATTATATTTCAAAGTTTTGAATTTAAATTTAAAGTTTTTTTTTGAACAAAAAAAAAGTCAAAACAAAACAAAATTGAATATTTAGACCTAAATTTAGTTCATATATTTATTTATATGCATCAACAACAAAAAAAGTTTGTTGTTGGTTTGGTTTGGTTGATGAATAATCAAAACAATTCTTTAGCAGAGAGAATCGATTGACATAAAACAGTAAATAGAAATAAAAGTTCTGTAGAATTTTTATAGTTCTGTAGATAAATATAAAGAAAAAAAAACTTGGCTATTAATGATGACAATTTTTTTTTTGTTGTTGAAAATGATCCTGAAACTTGTCAACGATATTGTCAGAATTTGAATAGATTCATACAAAATTCATTGACAGCCATATTGTGTCAATAATGGACAAAATGCCAAATGCCAAATTTGACACATTTCCTTTTTGGCCGGATAGGTTGGCTGGATTCGTTTATCATCATGTCAATCATCCATAATTGTTAAGTAATTGGAAAAACACGTGCCTTACAATCGTCTTATGATTACAAATCGATCATTGCAATATTGATTCGATTCGTTTTCTTCTATTCATCGAATTATAATTGAAATTTTTTTTTTACATTGACAAAATTGTTTTTCATTTGAAAAATACGAATGGCTTATGTATATCACAAAGGGATTTATTTGCAATTGGAAAAAAATAATGATCATTTGGAATAAGATTTTCAATTTATATTGTTTGAGTAGGTGAAAACAGAAAAAGTTTTTTGAAAAATTTGTTCAGCTTTACTATACTTTAAATTGATTTTTTCCCTCCACCAATTTGTCTCATCTTGATGAAAAACATGATTATTTTTTTCCAGGAATCTTGTTGAAATTACACTTTTTTTTCTATTTGTTCATTCATTCATTGGAATTTAATTTTTTTTTTGGAATTCAATTCCATCGATAACAATGATTCAATATAATTGTGGTCGATTGTTTGATTCCGGAATTTCAACAACAACAACAAAAAAAAACTTTGTTAAAAAAAAAAGTTTAGATAAAAATCAAAATCATTCAAGCAGTAATTCAGCACCATGGAATTCGAGCAATCGATTGATCGATATATAACATGTAAGAAGAATATATATCAGATAGCCGGAATTTTGCTTTTCTTTTCCTTTTTTTTTCACAATGATTGGCTATCGGATTTTATTCTATTTGATTATTATTATTATTATCTCAAACACACAATATTAAACTTGCCAAAGATGTCAACCAAACAACAACAACAAATGTCAAATTGAATAAATTATTCGATTATATATTATAAATGATAAAGTAATATCAAGTAATTTAATCTAACCAAAAATTTTTTTTTGTGTTTGTTTTCATTTATTGTCATTATTTTTTGGTCAAGAAAAGAAATTGAGTATCGATTTTTTTTATATACTTTTGGTTGTAATAAGATGAACAACACCACCAACAACAATTTCATTATAGTAGTCATATATAGATGAAGATAGTTAATCTTTGTTAGATATTGATATTCTGTATGCTATTAGTGAATGACATCGTAAATATTGTCAGTTTATATATATTAGATAAAAACAAACAAATTCTTTTTTCTCCTAATAAAAATAATTTTGCCCTAGTTTACAGGAATTCAATTTCATCAAAGTTGTTTCATTTTTCATCTTTATTTTCGCGTATACGAAATTTTTGGTGTCATTCAACAAAAAAAAAACAACAGCGGAATCGGTTATATTTATCTTAAGAGAGTAAACAAAACAACGAACAAACACGCAAACAAACAGATTATTATGATTATTATTAATTTTTCTCTGTTCATCTTGTCATATACAGTGTGGGCGTATAATGAATTTTTTTTTCAAATTATTCTTCATTCACTTGAATTAAAAGTTACCATTAGTTTTCTAAATAAATAAATAAAAAACTTATTATGATTAACCGAATTCTTTTGGTTATTTGGTCAAATTTTTCATGTATAGAAAAAAAATCGCTGTTAATTCACATTGATTTCCAAAAAACAAATTCCGACCACACCTTGATTGTTTTGTCTATTTTTGTGGTATAACATGGCTATAACTTTCTATTAATAACAGAATCCTTATTTTTATTAATCGTTGATTATTGACATGTTCGATATGATGATGATGATATATGACATGATGGAATTATTACCGAACAAGAATATTCCAACCATTTTAACGCCACCTATTGATTATGAAAATAAAGTTTTTTCTAAAGCAATTATCAAAATTAGCCATTGTCAAAATTTTGGATTCAAAAGTTTTATTCATCGGATTTTATTATAGAAAAAAAAGATTTTCAATGTCTAAAATACAGAATACAAAACACAGAATCCATCATTTAGAAATTGATCTAATTTTCTCTTGTTTCACGAAGACGACGAATAGCCGATCGGATGGCTGCAGCCGATGTTGTAGAAAATACGTATGCACCACCAGCAACGGTTTTTTTACATGCTTTACATTTCCAGATTCCTACACAAGTTCGTTTCATGGATTCCTGAAAACAATCAAAGAATTTATGATAAATATGATTAATCAAACAATGAATATTGCAGAAAATTTTAACAAACAAACCTTTCCACAAAATGTACACGTGTATTTGGAATGCTGGGTGATTTCCATCTTTTTCACCATCTTACGCAATGATGCACCATAACGGGTGGCATATTTGCCAACAACTCCAACCTTTTTGGTACGTTTCGTCTGTGGAAAAAAAAACAAGACAATTTTGGATTAATACAATGGTTAATTCAAAAAGAATTGATGAATTTGAATAAAAACTTGACCATCTTGTTTAAAAAAGCTTTAATCAGATAAAAATCCGATACATACCATTTTTTAATTTGATGTAAAATCAAAATTTATATTCAAAATACAAAAAAAACAACCAAAAACTCAGACCGCGATGACAACGTGTGTGAGCTCACGAAGAAAAGGAAATACAACGAAAATTTTAGCGTGCATGCTCGTAAAAAATGGTTAATTCATAAAGAATGTTCCGAGTTAGCAATAAATTTTAGTGCATTGCAAAAATAAAAAGGGCAGTGTTTAACGACATGATCACGTGACCTCGATTCAGGATATTTAAATCCTGTTGTGAAAGGATTCGACACGCCCAACACAGTTCACTATTCTAACACACTCGTATTTATATTTAGACATGGAATAACAAATATGGCAATGTAATTTAAGCTTCAGAATAAAGATTGTTGAATATTGATGTTTAGTGTGATACACAAGAACGAATCTTAAAAATTGACTTGATAGAAATCCAAAATTAACATTAAAAAATCAAGTGTATTTGTTTGTGGGATTCCAACACTTTTCCATTGATGATGAAAAATGACGATCTATCATCGTAATCATGAATCAATTATTCATACTTTGAATTAAATTTATGATGATGAAGACATGTTCCAAACATGGTATCATCGATAAACAAGTTCCATCATGGTGATACCAAATATAATTTTTTCAGTTATTATTAATTCGTTTGGTTACAACAATCACAAACATGATGTGTAGCTTTGATTTTTGTTATTCAATCGTTTTGGTTTTCACATTTATTTGATTTTTAATTATTCGCATGATAGTCATTTATTATTTTTTTCTTTTGAGAAAATTTAAAAACCAAAATGCCGAAAACAACATATAGCCAAATGCTTAATAATGAGATTGATGTTTGTGCCGATTGTAGCCAAATAAGTGAGTTTTTTTCGATACCATTATTTTTGTTTTTTAAAATTGGTCATTTCATTTGATTTACTCAAAACACAGATCCAACCTGGGCTTCAATCAATCATGGCACTCTTTTATGTGATCATTGTGCCATCATACATCGCAGCCTTGGAAGTAAGTATCCGAATGGCAATTGTTTTGGCGATTCTACTTGAACATTTTATATTTTGATCCATATCGCTTAGGAATTATATCACAAATCAAGCCAATAAATTCAAACAATTGGAAATCAACCCAATTGCAGATGGTATTAGACTTGTATCGTAGCGGTTCCAATTCTATTTGGGAACATACACTTTTGGATCCGCATGTATTATCATCTGGTAATCATCATCAAGCGACACATAATAAAATTCATCAACGAAAAAAACCACAACCGAATGATCCATTACATCCAAATAAGAGTGATTTTATTCGAGCTAAATATCAGTCCTTTGCCTTTGTGAACAAATCGCATGGTATTAAAGATGATGTTGAATCCGAAGCTGACATTAGTGAACAATTACATTCGAGTGTACGAACACCTAATCTTAAAACAAGTCTTAGACTTTTAGTTGCTGGTGCTAATCCGTAAGTATTGTTGATCTATGTTGATTGATCAAAATAATTAATTTTCATCACAGGAATTATATACACTCAGAGAAATTCAATTCTCCACTTCATATGGCTGCACGATCTGGCCAAATGTCTCAGATTGAATTATTACTCGCTTATGGTGCAAATTCTACAATTGTCGATTCACGAAACAAATCAGCAATTGATTATGCACGTGATGCTGGATATCATGACATTTTTTATCGATTAATTGAACATCAGTTCGATTTAACGGATACCTTGACACGTTTCATTTGTCAAGGTCGTCAACCTAATCATAGAAATGGTGAGCATTTTCTATTCGTAGATGTAAAGTCGGAATGGTTAAATCATTTGGACAACATCAACGATGATGGTAACAATAATAATGAAACAAGAAATTCAACCGAAGTGTTTCGCAATGAACTCCATCAAAGCTTACAATCATTAGGACATAAATTATTTCAAGAATTAACACGTGATGTTTACGATGAACTGGATCGACGTGAAATAAATGCTTTCGTTCTTGCAAATTATTTTAACGAAAATGGAAAATTATCTATTCTTCACCAGCAATTGATTATACCATTTTTACCTGTTTATCAGTATTTTTCTACAACACGAAATCAAGGAAGACAAAAATTGGCCCTACTTAACAATAAAGAATTAACATTATTGATTGTCGATGTTCTCAATGAAGTACGTCGCCGTGTCTACAATATACAATATTCATCTGGAAGTTTGAATAATAAAAGTACGGGTAAAGAAGATCGCAATCGTGGCCATGAAAACGAAAACGATGATTCAGAACCTCTTTATGATTCCGTACCATCGGAAGAAGAATATGAAGATCTCAATTTTGATAATGAATTGAACACTATTGTCAACAATCGAAACAAACAGAATCAGAATAATACACAGCTAAAATCTTCAAATACAGCTATTGTACAAGAAGGTTCTAATCACGTATCAACCATTGAGTATAATGCTTTGAAAGAGCAGATTGTGAAGTCTACAGAATTGATGGAATCGTTTGTTAACGAAAATAGAACAATGCGATTGGAACTTAATCGTTTGCAAACAAAATTGGATAAATTAGCCGTTGAAAATCTTCAGCTCAGACAATTCATTCTTACTCCATCATCATCATCCGCTAATCCTTCAATGAAATCATCATTGATCATAAATGAACCAAAAAGTACATCAATGTTGATTGAAAGTAGTGAAGACTTATTAAACAGTAATAATAACATAGCAACCTATCTGCATAATCAACCAACAACAAATCGTGTAAGGCCACAATCAATGTCAACCATTACAAACGATTTTTCTTCACAATCGATGGCAATGATGTCGATGATGAATAAATCACCGGTATCATTTAATCATGCATCACCTTCAGGTTTATCATTATCACCCTCAAATTCAATGATCAACTATAATAATCCTAATAATCAACGAAATTTATCACCCCATAATTATAATATGATATTCAACAGTAACAATAATAGCAATGATTTTAACGATCAACGTCTTCATCATTCATCACTTATTGATTCATCATCTTCATTATCTAGTCAATTGCAACAAACATCGAACAATAGATCATCATCTTCACCCCATTCACAGCATCATCAACCAACTCCAACACTCAAACAGCCTTTGCAGACAAATCAGACAAATTTAAATGAAATGCGGCCATATACAAATGCAGCCGGAACAATTTCGGCCAATACAAGTCTTTCGAAATCAAGTGCCTCGAAAACTACTCTGCCGACTAAAGATGAGGTTATTAGGAAAATTGAATTTATAACAAATGGAATCAAAGAATTGCTTATTAAGGCGAAAGAAGAGAAACATAATGAGTATGTGAGGCATTTTTATAAAATTATATTTAGGAAAAAATTTGTCACCCAAATTTGCTGCTTGCTTTACATAAAGATTTTTTCTATTTATTTATTCGCAAATAATTTTTACTTACATTTTCTTATTTTCTAATTTTAGATTCCATCATTGTTCGGAACGAATTTGTAATTATGTATCAGATATGATCAATTTATTTCCTGAGGTAAGCATTCAAATTTTCATAATAAAATGAAATGTTTTTTCTTGTTTTTGAAAGCTTTGCAAAAACAATCAACATAGAGAAAAAAAATGAGATTTTTTATTAGCATAAATTTTAATCAAACTTTTTTTCTAAAGTCAATAGAGTCCTCAAATACGGATAACCTATTACAATTGAATCAGGCATTCACACTATTACAGGGCAATGTGATTCATCTGAATGAATTGTGCCATTCATACCAAAATCGTCCTTCATTACGTTACCAACATAGCAATTCAACTACTACTAATCATCATGAAAATAATCGATATAATTATAATAAAGTTATTGATAAAGCAGCCGAAGTAGCATCATCTGTAAAATCGATAATCAATCTGTATAACATACAGGCCACAACAGCAGCCGCCATCGTTCAATAAATAAATTGATGATTACAATTGAACAAATGAATGGACATTCAACACATATGTTGTTAATCTTTTTTTTTATTCGATTATCGATTGGATTTCTTCGAATTCGTTTTTTCTTCAATTTAATTAAGTTTTATCTCATTTTCTTCGAAAAAAATAAATCTATTTTTGATCAATATTTTTCAAAAAATAAAAATCAATATTTTTCAAATTGTTTACATAAATTATTCATTTTCTTTTGATTGCTGATCTTTTTCATCATTTTTTGTTTGACTAGTTGTTCCATTATGATTGCTGTTACTGTTGTTGATATTATTATTATTGATATCACTCGGTGATGATTCTGTTCCTGGATTTTTCATCTGCACTTTGATCGATACATTAACCCTGTTCAACAAATTATGTAAAAATAAATACATATTGTTGATGCCACTGTTAATATGATGTAATGTTTTGACAGCCAATTCTGATGTTGCTGGCTATGGTTTTTTTAAATGAAAAAAAAATCATAGTTCAAGATATTCAGTACTTATTACTTACCTCGCTCAAGATTTGATCAGCACGATTTTTGGCCCTTTCTAAACGATTATTAGTATTACGTAATAAACGACTAAGGAATAGATCACGACGTTCACGTGATACATGGAAGGCTGTTTCTAAAATTGTTTGAAGATGGGTAACTTTGTCCACAATATCTTGTCGTAATTTTCGACCTTCCAATTCATAATTAAGATTCGGTTCCCTATAAAATGGTCTATCATCATTGAATTCCGGCAATGATGGTGATATTTGATCATTGATGGATCCAGTGGAAGTATCATTACCATCGATGCGTGATTCAGCGAATTGAATATCCGGCAGTTGTTCAATTTCTATAGGTGGTTGTGGTTCCGGTGGTCTAGGTTTTCGACTTTCAATACGATGAACAAAATGTTCACGAACTCTAGGAAACAAACGTCCTCCACTTGAACGTCGTTCACTCATCTATTATATTTGTGTAATTTGACAAGCGATGATTGGTTATGGATTAAAAGATTAATCAAAACAAAACTTTTATTAGTAGGTAGGATTAATACTCACAAATTTTGCTAATCTAGGTTTGGAACGATTGCGGCGATGTTCGATCAAATTATGGAACGCTTGACTGGCTCGATTAACTATTTGTGATACTAGTTTTCCTCTGGTGGTATCTGAACGTCTTTCGATAAACAAAGGTCGTTCGATAATACGAATTTGAGGTCTGAAACGAGGATGAGAAAAATAATGAACAATATGTGGATCATCTGTATATGAAATATACTGATTTGAGGGTGAATAAGGATAATGATAGTGGAAACGAGATGGCTGAATATTAACATTATATGGTTCAGGAACATTTTGACCATGTGCATATGCATATGGAAATGATTTTAATCGGTCACGATTCCTTCGAAAATTAAGATTATGGTGGTTAGGACGTTTAGAAAGGGATTTAGTTCTAGATTTTCGAGGAGGAGAAGAAATAACAGAACTAGAAGGTATCATGCGAAAGTGAGAAGATGAATGATCAACATTTTTCACTAACATTAATTCACGATCGACCAGTTCCATATTTTGTCCAGACTTTTGATCATCTGGATACAGCTGCTGCTGTTGTTGTTGTTGTTCATTGTTATTCAATGATGATTTTGACAACGTTTGTGAATGATTGGTAGTATAATTGGAATCGTAATTCTTTACATCAGTAACATTATTATTAATAATGGCAGTGTCAATTTGTTTTTCCGCATCGATGATTATTGTCTGTTGAAAAATCAATGCTATACCGTATATTATTATCAAACAATAATAGCATGAAAATGAAAATGAAAATGATGATGATAACGATGATGGCAGGATTGCGAAAACACTTGGAACTAGGCTCCTTTTATGAATCGACATCTTTTACCCGAATAGATAAGTGTTCGTGTCAAAATTTTGTTGACAACAACAACAACATTAACAACGACAATAGACAAGCAGAAATAAAGATGGACAAATTAATTTTCACATTCAATCATTCGTTCACTTTTTCTATTTCTATCATCAAAAAAAAAAATCATCCGAATAAAAGTCATCGCAGTGGAAAAAGAAAAAGAAAAAAATTTGAAATTCGATTATTAAAATGAAAAAAAAATTCCTTTACAAATTCTTGATTCTTATATTACAATTCTTATCGATTCAGAATTTTATGATGATGATGATGAAGATGAACTTGACAAAACAAGAAGAAAAAAAGGAGAAAAAAATTATAATTATGCGATTGAAAAAGATGAAATAAACCTTTTTTCTTTTGCTGTTGTTGGAACCTTGTTAAAAAGTGATGATTTGTAAATTTGGTTAACAAAAATTCACATAAAACAATGATTTGTTAGTGAATGAAATGTCCAGTTGACATTCACAAACTATAATAATAATAATAAACCGATAACAAAATGCAAAATAATAATTTTGATTTTGGTCCGAACGGTTTGATCCGAAACGAGAAAATCTTTAGAAACCGAAAGATAGAGAACAGGAGAGAGAGAAAAAGAGATCATTTAAATTGTACGGTTATTTTCTCTTTATTTTGAATTTACTTTCGTTTTTTTTTTGAATGTTATTTCTCTTCGGTGACATTCAATTCAATACATGAAAAAAAGTGAACTAAATGAGCCAAAAGCCATCCATTTTACATTCGAACTTGTTTTTGATATTTTCTTTTCATAAAACAACAAATTGACCATATTTGCTCGATTTTTTTCTTCGATTCATCGTTGCCGAACAAATTGAATTGAGTTTTTTTAGAGAATTTTTTCCTTTCTCAAGAAATTTAAATGTTGAATGAAAAATGCTTTCATTTTAATCGTCGCCAAATTTGTGTTGACAAGATAGATCAACAACAACCGGACTAGGCTATGTAAGATTTTAATTTATGATATTTAAAAAAAAAATCTAAGAGAAATAAAAAAAACAAAATTTTGGACACAAACAGCAATGTGGATTAATCGATCTATCCATTTATGTGTTTTTTTTCTCCCCTCCAGTTGAAAAATGGTGACTTTTTTTCTGCTCGCAATTTCAATTACAATCTTTCTCCCCTTTTTATTTTTCTTCTTGTTTTTTTTATGTAATGTTCGATTAAAAACAAACACTGATTATGTAGTTTTTGTGGCTTTCAAAAACGAAAAGCAGAAAAAAAAACGGTCATCAGGGGAGAAAACAAAAAACAAAAATCTTTTTCAATCGGACTTAACATTTTATGCATTTTATACAACAAACAAAAACAACAACAACAACACTAGGAAGTTATTTGAACCTGGCCATGTATCTATAGTTGTCTACGATAAATATATTTTTCTTTTCATTTCAAAACATACATTCAATGTCCAATGTCCAATGTCAATTATTATCTGTACCTGTGTGTCTGTGTGTAGTTTGCCAATATCAAACCGAAACATACCATCGGTTGTGTAAAATGAATAACAAAAAAAAATGATGTTTGTAGAAAGATGACAAGATATATATGTTGTTGATTTCGATGATGATGAAGATTGTGAAGAAGAAGAAAAAAAAAATCAATTTCCTATTTAATTATTACTGAGCGAAAAAAAAGTAGATTAAAACATTACGATATGAATGAATAGAGGTCGAAATTGGAAATTGGAAATCAAAACAAACGGAACATCAAATGTTGAATCAAATCTTTTTTTTTAATATAGACCAGACCTAATCAAAACTAGCTATCCAAATCAATCAATCAATCGAATTTTCTGATCTCTTTTTTTTCAATTTTCCCTTAATACAAATTAATTATTAATATTTTGATTTCAGACAAATAATTTGATCTTTTTGCAAAAGAAACAAATGCAAACTAATTCAATTGGGAACAATTTGAGATTTTTAATAAACAACCAAAAAAGAAAGTTTTATTGAATTTAATTTGATTTGGATCGATATAACATGTTTCAAATATAATTATAAAAATCATCAACATCAATGTGTTGACATTGAATTTTTTTTCATTAAAATCAAATTGAAAAAAAATATCAATTCGAATTAGATTCAGTCATTAAATTTTATCATTTGACAAAAAAAATGATTATTGTTCCCGTAAGATAATAATGTTATCAAAGCAACCAAAATAAATGAATGAAAAATCGAGCACATCAAATCATATAATGTAGAAATTATGCCTGTTTTTTTCTCGAATAAAAAAAAATAATTATCAAATAAATGGGAAAAATTAAGTCTACAGAATATTCTAGGCAAAATGAAAAAAAAATTAATTCCAAGCACGAATGGAAAAAAGAGACATTAAATTTTTTTCTCTCCATACATCATTTGTTCATCATTTTAATAATTAGGAATCGTTTGGATAATTAGTCATCAGAAAAAAAGCAGTTTCATTTTGTATTTTCAATATTGAATATTCAAAAAAAAATTAGGAAAACAAGAAATGAATAACCAGTACCAAATAGATTCAATAGAATGAATTGAAATAAAGAAAAAAAAATCAAAATGAAAAGAAACCTTTGAAGATTTTTTTAAAAGAAAAAGTCATTGACATGCGAATGAGAGAGAGAAAGGTTAGGTTATGTCAGTCCGTCATTGTCGTTTTGCCATTTCCTACATAATCATTTTTTTTCTTTATCATCAAATTTCTTTTGTATTTTGTTTCTTCCGTGTGATCAAAAATCTACAACAACAACAACGGTAACAACAAATAACAACATGTAATACAAATTGATATGGAAAAGCTACAAACAAAAATCTAATTCTTGCCCGATCAAAGAATCGTCATAAAGATGATTATCATTGTAATTAAGAAATAAGCAAACACAATTAAATCCGATAGAATTAGCAATACATCCTGTGCATCAGGGAAAAAAATTAATTTTTTACGGATTTTTTTTCAATAAAAAAAAATGATGAGCATGAGCATAATATAATGATTTTCATTCGAATCACATAAAGAAAAAAAATTTTTTATTTTATTTTATTTTCCTTTATAACAGTGAAATACAAATGTGCGCACATGTTGAATGGCCAAATAGTCGTTGAATTCGCGCCGGTTTGGTGCCCATGTTTTTAGCTGGTTTTTTGGTTGTTGTTGTTGTTGGGTGGATGTAATAGTGGTGATGCTTGTACCCTATCTTATATTTCATCTATGGGCCAATGAATTGTTGTTGTGTTTGAGAAATACTGGAAAAAAAATTTTCTATTTCGATATATCTATCTATCTGTTATACAATCTATAGATTAATAGACAAATAAATTTGTCCGTTTTTTTGAAAAAGAATTTCCTCAAACGAAACATTGCCATAAAATTTGAAAGCTAACCAATCATCAGTAAGTCATTCAACATTCATTCAATTCATTTATTCAACTTTTTTTGGGCCCGAATCTTTTTTCTTTTTGATAAATGTGAATTTTCAGTGTGTACGAAAAAAAAAATGTTTGGACATCATTATTATTATTATTGCACACATGTGAACAACAATCTGGATACTTGAATGGATGCTCACTTCACATGAAATATTACATAGAAATTAAAATCCAGAACCAGAATAAACCACAAACGAACAACATCATTGCTGAACAACAATGTTTTTTAAATGAATCTGTTGGTTTTTGTTGTTGTTGTTGTTGGTTAAAGTTCTATGAAGCAGAAAAAAATTGACTATCATATTTTGAAGGTATGGGTGAATCAAATTGTGGATACAAAGTCGATACTTGATAATTGAAGTAAGTATCTATCGAATTTTTTTATTTTCAATATTCTTTTGCTCTGATTAATAGAATTATAGCAACAAACAAAAAAAATCGATTTTCATTTTGCCGTTTCTCTTTAATTTTAATAAATGAATACTCAATATGATGATGATCGTGATATAGTTTTCCTATATCGAATAAAATCTGATTAATTTGACGATCGAAAACAAAAAAATTATTATTCAGATAACAAAAATAGACTTTCAAACAAGGAATAATATAGACAAGGAATAATAGAGAAAAAAAGGGTATCGGAAACGAAAATTGCCCAAAAAGTTAATGAAAAAAGATTGTTGTTGTTTTGTTTTGTTTTTGCAAATTATCAGAATGACTAGGAAAAAGAAACCAGCTGGTGTTATCGAAAAACGTGTGATGAATAGATTTTTTTTTTTTAATTTAAATAATCCTCAATGAAAATAAAAATACTGATAGTGAAAAAGAAGAAAATTGGAGTTTACTTCCGAAATTTATAAACAAAATATTCAATGGATGTGAATAGAGATGGATGGATAATGAAAAAAAAACATAACAACAACAAAAACAAAATGATCAGCATCAAAGTTTCAATTTATTTATTTTTTCAAAATCTTTTATTCAAAATTTAAAAAAAAAAAATAAATAATGATTCAACCAATGATGAAAATCATGAAAATCGTTTCATTTTGTTTTCAACCATTATTCCAACATAATACCGATTTATGTAAATGTAATGAAACGACAGTTTTTTTATCATTTTATTTCTTTCTTTCCGAAAACAAAAATCAACTCTTCTCAATGGTTGAATTTCAAATTTGAAACTTTTAATTTGAAAATCTAAAATTTTTTTCTTCTCTATTTTGCTGTGATCTCGTTTGCTATCATTCAAATAAATTTTTTCCATTTTAAAAAATACTATGGGATAATGTTTGAACAAGATTGAAATTGTGCAACAACAAACTTCTTTGTTTTAATATTTTTTTTTTTGAATCTCGGTTTCTATTTGTGAAAACAAAAGTTTACACACTCAAAATACACAGATGTGTGTGTGTTTGTTTGTTTGTTTGTTTGTTTGTTTGTGAAAACAAAAACCAAACAATGATCCAAACCGATCACTGACTTTAAAATAAATCAACATCCTTTACGGTGTCTTTTTTTCTTGTTCATTTCTCATCTATTTGATGGTTTGATGGCCAATAATAATATTTGTTCAAGAGAAAAATGAAATGAAAAAATAAAAAATTTTGAAACTTTACAACGGTCAAAAGTACAGTTTTGGTGTGTGTTTACAATGATGCGATTACAATGAGTGATATAATAGAAACAATATAAACACCAAAAAAAAAGAAGAATAGATAACCGATTGGAATAATTGAAAAAAAAAATTTTCGTAAATTGTATTGGTCATGGTTTATTTTATTGATCACAGGTCAATGTCGAAATTGAGAATCATCAGTAATTTTGATAACTTTTTTTTTCATTCATCTAAAATGAATTGAATAACAGGAATTTTTCAGGAAAAAAACGCCATGAAAATAAGTGCAATAAATTTAAAATTGTTGTAATATGAGATTAAAATTCATCAGAATATAGCCCCGAATCAAGAATCAAATTAAAAATTTCCATATTAAAAGTAGAAAACGAAATGAATTACAATTTTAAATAACAGCTGCTGACAAAAAAAAAACCCGAGATTAATGATAATGTGAAAAGCGTTAATATTCTAATATGAATGAGAAATTCTATATCACTCATGAGGAAAATGGCAATTAATTTTTTTTCCAATTCGTTTGCTTTTTTTTTTGTACAATGAATTTCCATTAAATCAGATAGATAGTTAGGATAAAAAAAATGATGATGATCATCAGTATTTTATGGCTATAATGGGCTTCAATCAACAAACACAAAAACAAAAACGCACAAAAAAAATGCTAAACTAAATTTCTTCAGGGCAAATGGTCGATTGTTATTCGTAAAGAATTATGACATTGTGACAACATTTATGTCAACATGTATAGTCAACATCATCAAAGATAACCCAATTTTTTCGATGTTGTTAGTTTTTCAATAAAGAAATTCGTTATGCTTACAATTTATCAATAAAGTGAAAATGAACACATTTTCATTGAAATATTATGAATATATTTTTTTCAAGGACTAACTTCATTAATTTGGGACATTTTTGATGATTGTGTCTCATAGGAAAAGAAAGAGGAAAAAAATAAAGTTTTGCAAACACACATTATCATGTTGAAATTTTTTCCATATCGATAATCTCAGTAAACTAATTAATCAATACTGATAAATTGACACAATTTAACCATTAAAATTTTAAAATTTTATAATCATTTTTGAATTTGCAAAAAAAAACTTCCAGAAACTCTTCTAGAATCGTCTAGAATTGTGAAGATATGGTTTTATCATTGTCAATTATAATTGATGATGATCAAGTTGATTAATTATCAATATTAACCACATTAATTTGTTTTCAAGCCTAATAAACTGATAAAGAATTCATCAATGATAATGATGTTGATGATGATACAATGTAATTACAATTAATACAAATGTAAATATTTATCGACAAATAAATACAGACAATAACTGTTGTTTCATGAATACAAACAAATTGGTAATCCGAAAATATTAGAAGATAAAAGATGTTTTCATTATAGTAGTCGTATTAACGGATGTAATAACAATAGATTTTGTTTGTCTTTTTGTTTGTTGTTGATTATATGAACTTGTAATTATAATTAGTTCTATAATTTAATTATTAATTTAAATTATGATTAATAACAAAAATATTGAATTGTTATACAGGTTTTATCATGATTCTTTTGTTTTTGTTTATTACAGATAAGACTAACTTTATATCGATGGAAAGAAATATAAATACAAATACGAATTAAAAACTTTTAAATAATCGATTATCATTACCTAAAGAACTAAACAATAGTGGAATGAATGAATCGAATGTATCCGATATACCATCATCAACAACACCACCATTACAAAGTGAAATGGATGCATTACTTCTTGGTCAAATTAAGGTAAGTAATGGATGATTTTTTTAGTGTTTCGTTCGTTTTTTTTTGGTTTTGAAATTCGAAAACAGAATTAATAGTTCATGTTATATATGAATGATATAAAGGAAGAGAATAAATTAGTCCGATGAGTAACGTCCTCTATCGATCTTGATCATAACTAAATATTTCATAACTTTTGCCCGGGAATATTATAGAATTTTATTGATTTTGAAATTGGCGATTGGAAAAAGAAATTTGTTTCTGATCGATTATTAATTTGAAAAATTAGCACCAAGCAAGCAGGTGTCTTTCTTTTTTTTTGTATCGGTGATCGATATCAATAAGTTTTAGGAAACAAAATAGAAATATGATCATTGATTACTGATAAACATTTTCAATCTATTGTGTGTATCGGTTATAAACTGAATGCGATTGTGTTATTCATGAATCGATTTATTGTTGACGGCCGATTGACGAAATGATTGTTACAGCTGCTGAATAAAGAATCAAACGTCGACCGGCTAACAAAAAACCGTGAAAATGTATTAAAATTTTCATTAAAATACTTTTCAGTTGAATAATATTTCAATCAGAATTTTGATTTGTTTCAAAAGTTTGTTTTTTTTTGCAAAAGATACTTCATTTTTATTCATGTATGCCAGCCGCATAAAAATTTCACATTTATTACTCTCTGTACACCCAGAAAACAAACAAATTTTAGATTTAAGATTACATTCATTACAGTGAAATGAAATACCATATGAATATCATATAGGAATTTAATTCTTTCAAAAATGTTTTTTTTTCTTTCTTTCGTTCTCTCTCTCTACACAATTTAACTTTCATTCATTTTGATTTCATTTTCCAACATCGAAATTGGATTGAGCATTTTTTGTTGTTGTTGTTGGTGTTTTCAGCTTTAAATTTAATAGCCTGTTTGTTTGTTTGTTTGTCTGTTTGTATGGTCTGGAGACTAAAAACGGCTTTTATCAATCAATCAATCGTCAAGCAAGAAAGCATGAATCGAAAAAAAAGATTCTTCTAAAACTTGTATGTTTTGAATGGGTGGTAATTTCTGTTTAGATGTTTGAATTTGTAAACGGCATTCTTTTTATCGTTGGAATCCGTTTTTTCTAAATACATTCTGTATTCTTTATTTCCACCAACACAATTAATTTTCCTTCTCTTTTTTTTCTGTTAAATACGATGATATTCATCGAGATGATTATCAATTCACATTCAACTGATTTTTTGTTTTCTCAACCAACCAACCAACCAAACTATTTTTCATATATCAAACTCCATCAAGTTTCATTAAAATCGAAAACAAGATGCAAAGAAAAACTTTTTTTTGTCGTCCACCATACATTCATTCATTCATCTGATTATCCCAAATTCACAAATTCATTGCAATCTCAAAAAAGCTTCAAGTAATTTGGTTTAATTTCAATTCTAGGCAATTTAAATGCATGTGGATGCTAAAGTCCTTTTGGGTAATGGTAATATACACAACACATACATAGACATACAGATCTCATTTTTTTCAATATGATGCCATACATTTATTATTATCATCATCATATCACATGCGCTTGAAAGTATGAACATCAGCTATAACCAAACATAATACTTACACCATCACACACACACACACACAAACATAATTCTAACACCGATTCTGTTCAGAATCCTGGAATCTATCTTACGATTCTGACTGGTTGGTTGGCTGGTTAGTTTGGTTAGTTTGGTTGGCTGAATGACTGACTGACTTACTGAATGACATGATGGCTGTTTTATATTATTTTATTTTTTCATCTCATCATCTTCTTCATCATCATCGTCAATAACAACATTCAATTCAGTATTCATCATGTCGATTTCATGTTTATACACACCAAAAAAAAATTCTAGTTCCATGTTCCGTTTTTTTCTTCTTCATTTCTTCATTTTCTATCTTTTTTTTTCACTTGAATTCTCTTGTTCATTTAGATAAAACTCTAGTTAGAATTCTTGTTTATAAACATACATATTGAATTTTTTTCCCTCTCTCTCTCTCTCTCCGATGATAATATTGATGTCTGATCCATAAAAACTTTGCAACAAACTTTCCAATGAAAATAACAAAATTATGAAAACAAAATTTGATGAGATAAATGTGTACATCCATAATTATCCGTCATTATTTAATGAATCTCATTCATCATACCGAGAAAAAAAATAAAGATAAAAATGAAGAAGAAGTTGAAATATATTGATCCGAACGACATGTTTTTTTTCGCTAATAAATAAAGATTATTTCTTAGAATCAACTGAATTTTGTTGTAGTTGTTGTTGTTGAGTGATTCTACCCGGAATCAAAAAAAAAACAACTATTGAATAAATAAATGAATTTATTACATTCGTTCGATTGATGAACTGACAAAATCATTTATTTCTCCACTAATGTGTGTGTGTTGGTTGGTTGATAGCTGGGTTGTAACTACAAATCAATCTTTTTTTTCAATTATCCATCGATTCCATTAGAAAACAAAAATGAAAAATTTGAATTTCAAATTTTTCACATCATCATCATCATCATCAATGTTATTATTATGAAAATATAAATATTTAGTTTGTGTGTGTGTGCTGTGTGCATCTGTCAGTACGGAAATTTGTTCATAATAATTTCATCATGATGACAATGTGATAAAAATGTATTTAATAAATAAAATGAAAAAAAATTCCATCAACAGCAATATCAATGACGACAACTACAACGACGACAAAAACAATAAGATGACAATGTAGAAATTTTATATTTTTTACTTTCAAAAATAATAATTGCAGCATAATGATAATCAATACTAATCACACACGTACACACACACACACACACACACACACATCAGTTGTTGTTAATTTGTTCCATCCAACATCCGCACACAACACACATCAATAAAGATATCTTTAATTGAAATAAAATCTTTTTTTCTCTGGTTTAGTTTATGAATAAAGCATGATGTATGTCATTGTTATTAAATTTGGACCATAATTTATACCACAATAGATTATTTGGTCGTCATATCAACATTCGTTTATATTACCGAGAAAAAATAATACAAATTTTATGATGATACCTTGAATACGCTATTGAAATTTTGATAACATCATTTAATTAATTGCTTTTTTGTGTGTGTGTTGTACATTGAACCAAATCATTTCTTCCACCCTCAACATACATATTTTTTGAATTTATTTCCTTTTTTTCATCATTATCAAATTTAGACCTAAATGTTGTCGTCATCAAATTAAACTAATCGAACAAGTTGTCCATGTTCGAGTGTTGTGGAAGTTTGTATTTGAAAAAAAATATATAATTTTGTTCAATGCAAAACAGCAACAAGCTGTTTTAATTTTTGTTGTTTTTTTCCATTTAACTAAATTGTGTCGGTAGAAGTGAATTTTGTTATTTATTTTTCCGTAATCAATCTCAACCTCAACATCATCGAATCGTATTTGTGCGTGTGATTTTTGTTTTTTCTCAATATTCACGCACACATCAAAATTTTATGTAAAATCAAAATCAAATTTCTTTTAGTTAAACGACAATCAAGTTGGAATCATCGAATCAATCTGATCAATCAACCAACCAATCAACCAACAATTATGACAAATATTGACGAACAACAACAACAACAACAAAATAATAATGTAATCACACAAACACAAAATCATTTCCTTTTTTCAATATAGAACACTTATTTACGATTTCCATTACACTTATTTATGAATTGGATGAATTCATTTTTATTCAGATTTACAAACATCAACAACAGAACAAAACAAAACAAAAAAGAAAGGAAAATCCATTCATAGATAGATGAATTATTGTCTCCACTGTCATCATCATCATCATCATTATTATTGTTGCCAAATTTGACAGATTTTCAATATAATTTATGATCATTGCGCGAAAAAAAATCTCATTTTTTATTCATTTCATTTCAGGCAATGTTTTTTATATTCGAAAAACAAACCAGAATCAAAGAATCCTTAACACAATCAAAAATATGATGAGAATTTTTCTTCTTTTTTTTGACCTCCATTGACAATCAGCTCAAATATAATCATTGTTATAGACACTTACAATTATCATCATCATCAACAATAAATTATCATGACTTGGACAATGTGAAAATGTTCATAAAAACAAATAGAAAATTTTCGACAACTTTTTATTTTATGAAAGGAAATGGTTGTCCATTTAGATAATTGTATAGATGAACCAGTCTTATTGTTTTTTGATTGAATGACCGTCATGATGATGATGATGATGATGAAATATGAGAAGAAATAACGAAATTGATCTATGTTTTTTGTTTATTTCTGGATGATATTTTGGAGAATGATTCAATACTGATTATTCTCAATAGACATAGACATTATTCTCAATCATACAATCAATTCGATAAGTAGATAAATGTTTTTTTTTTGCTTTTTGTTATCACAAAATTGCCGGTTCTTATCGTCCAATACTGACAAAAATAAAAACAAAACTAAAACAAATTCAATAAATCCATAATTCCTTTGCTTATCAATTTGCAAGCAAAAAAAAAACAAAACAAAAGAAAAATTTTCAAATTATCATCATTCAATTATTCAATTTCAATGAAATTCTATCATTTATTTCATCATTTAATCGTGCTGATGCATTAACTAATTTAATTTTGTATTTTATCATTCATTCATTCATTCATTATTGCCATATCTTGAAAATCAAAGCTTCTGCACTTTCAATTATAATCAAATGTACGTGTACCTCTCTCTCTCTTTCTCTCTCTGTGTGTTTATGTTTTTGTGATGTAAACGAAATTAATTCTACACTGTGTCAATCATTTTCATTTTCATTTTTTTCATTACATTTCAACCGACACCATATTATCATCAACACTATTATCATCATCATATGATATAATCATAACAATCATTCACAATTCATTATGAATTTGCACCATAAGAGTTTATATATTCAATTTTTCATTACTCATTTATTCGCTTATTAATCTCGTCTAACAATGGATAAATAATTCATCGCTTCATTTATATAACAAAAAGAGAGAGAGAGAGAATAACAAAATCTACTTTATAACAAAATCATCAACATAACTGTAATCATAATGATAATGAAAATCATAAAGAATGATGCTTATCCTGCTTACATATTGTAGCTTTGCTATTTTTTTCACTTTATAACAATTTTTCTTATAACAAAAAGTGCTAATAAAGACTTGACATATGGAAAATTTTTATTCTATTCATTGATGAAACAATATGGATTCTAAAATTGACAACGATAAAATCAATATAAAAAAAATGTTGTTTGGTGAATGATGATGATAACGAATGATGAATGAATGAAATGATTCGAAATGTGATTTTGTCATTATCAATTTTCATGATTCAAACAGAGAATTGTGCGAAAAAAAATATTAACATACAAATCATTAATAAAATTAGATCAATTTAATGTTTGGAAAAAAACATAGAGAAAAAATTCCGTCGACACAATGACAGAATTTGATAATGATGATAATGACACTGTCATTCCGGATGATTTTCGTGAAATGCATGTAAGTTGTTCAAGAAACAAAACAAAAAAAATGCCAGATTTATATGGAAAACATGCTAAATGTGTTTGTCTATATGCATGATGAATATAAATAGCCAAATTATTTTCATTGAAAAAAAAATTAATTTAAAACAACCAAACGAAAGATGATGGTCATTTTGTATTTTGTTGAAATACTAAAATTTATGAAAAGAAAATCAAATCCTAAATTATATATGATTTGATGTTTTTTATTCTGATTTAGAAACGAAGGAATCATTTGAGATTTATTCTCTCTTGTTACTGTTTTCATTTCACATTTATTTTTTTTTTCATTCGGAAATTAATTTCATCATTTCATGTCTGTATGTTATAGGAGCTTTCAACGGTCGATGTCAAAACAAGCAACTGGAAAGGTACATTGATCTCCATTCTAGTTATAGTATTATTGTCTTCAGCCATTATTTTGGCTATTTATTTAATCAATCCTGATATTCAAAGTAAGAATTTTTCAATTCATCATTAGTCATAAAAAAAGAAAAGAAAAACACATCATTTATTATCATTTTTTCATATAGATAAATTTATCACTGAAACCCGAGAAAGACTTAAGTTAGAAGAATTATTACATGGAAACTATACGATACAGCCAACATTTAATGGAACATGGATTAGTGATACAGAGATTACATTCATATCATCGGCCGGTGATTTTGCCCTATATGATGTCCGTAACGATAAAACGGATATTATTATCTATGCCAGGATTATGGTAAGTATTTCCTACATGATAGATCAAACATGTTTATCATTATATGATCACGAACAAAAAAAAATAATAATAAATAAAACACTAAGGTTGGCCATAATAATGTGTGATAGCTGATTGATTATATAATAGGGTTAGATATTGAATGTACAATGATTAATGAATCTTATCGATTATACATTAATGATCATAAATCATTATAATTATAATTTATAATATAGAAACAACATGAAGTAGATCGAGCTATATTGTCACCAAATCGTCAATATGTTTTACTTATCAGTCATATCAAGAATGTATGTATCGAAAGTTTTCTATTTTTTCAATTAAAATTTTTTTATTATATTATCATCAATGTTTATTATTCAGTTATTCCGCCACAGTACTTTGGCCCATTATAAAGCTTACAATCTATCAAATGATAAGTAAGTGATAAAACAAAGCAAAAAAAAAATGAAAGCATTTATCAAATTCAACATACAATCTATTTTAATTTCTTTTACCAATATTAGTATTATCAATATAAGACCACATGAAGCAAACAGTGATGCCAGTTTACAGGCAGCCGAATGGGGTCCAAAAAATGCCCAATTAGTTTTTGTATTCGAAAATAATATCTATTATATGCCCGATCCAAACGAAAGTCAAACATATCGTATAAGTCATGATGATGATCGTTACATCTATAATGGAATACCCGATTGGATCTATGAGGAAGAAATTTTAGCAACGAGTACAGCATTTTGGTGGTCAAAAGATGGCAAACGTCTAGCATATGCTCGTTTTAATGATAGTAAAGTTGAGATACAAGAATATCCATGGTATGGAGATCAAGTTGATGTTGAATCACAATATCTTGGCGCGATAAAAATTAAATATCCAAAAGTAAGAGAAATGAAATAATTTATTTGAATGCAGACCAGATAAAACATAAACCACACATTAAAAATAAAACAATGAAAGTGAAAAAAATATATAATATCTCTAGGGTTATTCATCACTTATAAAAAAGTACATCGTTTCTTTCTTAAATAAATTTCTCCATTGTATTTGTTATATATAGCCAGGAACGACGAATCCAACCATAACATTACACATGGTTGATCTGGAGAATTCCGATTTTATTCCATATGAAGTTTTACCTCCATTTGAGATAACAAAACATAGGTTTGTAAAAGATCATATGTGAAAAAAAACAAACATTGATAAAAGATTCCCGTTCTATATGTTGTAATTGAAACAGTGATTACTATTTAACATCAGTTGCATGGGCTGATCGTGATTGTCTGATTGCCGTATGGATGACACGTGAACAAAATTATGCTTCTTATTCATGGTGTTCACCATCATCATCCGAAATTGATCGTATATGGAAATGTCAAGAAGTTAGTTGATTGAAAGCGATACCGGAAATTTTATTTTTAAATCTTCATTTTTTTATCATAGAGTTTTCACAAAGAACTTCGAAATGGATGGGTTGAAATTTCAGCTGTACATGTTGACCAAAATGGCCAGAATTTTTACACATTACATAGCGATGATAGCTCGGAACAATTTGTACAAATTATCAAAGTTAATATTAAGGTAATAAATTTAAATATAATCGATATAACAAAAAAATTTGATTTATTTTTTCCCGGAAACTATAGACTTATGAAAAAAGTTTTATCACATCTGGCAAACGTGATGTGACAAAAATATTAAAAATCATTCCATTTTATGATAATGATGATGGTGAACACAATAAAATATATTATTTAGCAACCAGAATAAATAAACCGGGTGAACGACATGTATATAATGTTGTGGATAAATCCAAATGGATGATTACAACAAATCGAAACAACAACAACAATGATAATAATAATAATAATACAACAAAGTGCATTACATGTGATCAAATCGAGCTTAATCAATGTCTATATAATCGTTTAACATTTAGCCATAATGGTACATATTATATACGAGAATGTCTTGGACCAAATATTCCATATTCAACATTACATAGATTAAATGATGATGATGACCATAATTATACACGTCAATGGGAAATGAATGAAAAATTAAAATTGACATTGAGTAAAAAATTATTACCAACAATTGTTACGGAGATTATCAACCGAACTGATTATGGTAAGTTGATGAAGTGTTAAAAATTTAATCATTGAAAAAAATGAGATAATAATGATGATGATGATCCAAAATATATTATGACATGAAACATTATGAGACATTATTAAATTAAGCTTTTTTGGTAATAATTTTTTTTCTACTTTTTCTTAAATTCATTCGTGAGCACATTATGGTTTTGCCATTTGATTAACATAATTATATAGATAGATATATAAAAAAAACATGACATAAAGATCAATTCTTTTGGCTATGGTAAATGATAGCTATTATTTTATATCACGTTCTTTTTATTATTCAAAAATTATTCAAATTAGACTCTCGGTGTATATATGTAATTTAAATTGAGAATTGAATTGATTTAAATTGAGATTTTTTTTGCAAGTCCCAAATTCTTTCGATTATCAGACGTTGATATAATTGAATTACTAGACTGACTGACTGAATATGATCATTTTTCTTTCATTTGTTTTTTTTTGTCAACAGTTTTGATTGTTCAAATGTTTTTGCCTCCATCATTTAAACCGGATAGTATTGTAAAATATCCATTATTAATACAAGTATATGGTGGTCCAGGATCACAAAATGTGAATGAAAATTTTAAAATGAATTATGGTAAATTTCTTGCCGGTAGTACGGAAATTATCTATGCATATGTAGATGGAAGAGGTAGTGGATTTCAAGGTGAAAAAATGAAACATTATTTATTTCATCGATTGGGCACAGTCGAAATTGATGATCAGATTATTGCTGCCAGGTTAGTGAATTCTTATTATTGATTTTGTGATATTTAATAGAATTTTCAATTAAACAGATATCTTCGAGATAAATATAATTTTATTAATCGTGCTGCTATCGGTATTTGGGGTTGGAGCTATGGTATGTGTTGTGTTATGTTTTGTGTTCAAATTTTTACCTTAAATTGACAGGAGGTTATGCTACAACTAAAATTTTACTCAGAGATCAAAATGATCCAGTGTTTGCCTGTGGAATATCGGTAGCACCAGTTACATCATGGCTTCTATACGGTATGTAAACACATTATAAATAACGGTGAATACATATGACTTTTAAAAACAATTTATTCGAAAAGATTCGGCTTACACGGAACGTTATATGAGTTTACCAACAAATAAAACAATGGAAAATTATCAAACATCATCAGTAATGTATGATGTAAATCATTTACAGGATATAAATCATATGCATGGTAAAAAATTTCTATTAATTCATGGAACAGCAGATGGTATGTATTATTATTATTTAAAATGTACTTATTATATTATGAAAGTAATATAATAAAATAAAAACCATGTCGACAAACAAAGGAATAGGAAGATGAGAAAACATATCTTCATGTGTTAATCCTATGATGTGTGTGTAGGTGTATAAAACAAGGCCAAAAAAAAAACGATGATGATGACAACAGTCAACATTGTTATTCTTGATACGATAACAAAACAAAAAAGGTTTCATATTCAAGTATCATTATTTATTCTTATATCATCATCAACTAACTGAACAAAAAAAAAAAGTTTTACCTTCAAACAAAAACTTAGCGATAATTATGATGTGATAAAAAGTTGGTGAAAGAAAAAAAAAAGTTATTTTCAAGTTTGATGAGTGTGTCGTTGATAAACATTGTGTCGATCTTTTCGAACCATTTCTCTCGGAATATGGTGTGTGTGTGTGTTTTTTTTTGACGGGGGCGGGGGTTACATTTGTGGTGACATTCGAAAATATTATTAGTTCGTTTCGTAAATGTTCGAAAAAGTCAGGTTTTTTTTCGCTATCGAGAAATCTTTTTCTTTTTTTTTGTTGCTGGTTTGTTTTGTTTAGTCCTTCGGGGTCTGAATTCAATGAAATGAAGAAAAAAAAATAAGGAATACAGAATCAATATATTCTTATTATATTTCATTAAAATTGATTTTCTTTTCTATCAATGTAAATGAAGTTTTTTTTTGCTGCTGCTGCTGTTGTTGTTGATATTTGATAAGGAGAAAATTTAAAATTTAAATTCCATTCCCTGTATATATAAAGTATATAACAAGAATCAATCATCACGTGAGATCTTACTATTCAACGAAAGTGAAAATAAAAGTTCAGGATAACCAAACATACGAAAAATTTAATAATGCTTAACACATGAATGCTCGCGTGGGGTATATTTCTACCCCAGATTATACAAAAAAAAATTCTAAGTTCGAAATCGCTTAATGTTAAATCAATGGTGGGGTGAAAAAATACCCCACGCGAGCACTGGCGTTAGGATTTGATGCGCGAGCACTGATGTGTTAAATGTTGTTCATTCGACTGGAAATAATGTTTGGGTTAAAGCGCTATATATATTTTTACAAATTTTGAATCGAAAGTTTTTCTTTCTTTTTTTTTGGAAAATATAAAATTTCGGTGATGATGGATAAAAATGAGAAATGAAGTTTGAATTAAGTTTGTTTTTAAAAATGTATTTTAACCCTTTAAGTTCAGAGATTTTATTCAACATAATATATTGAACATTCAAAGTAATCAATTTTTTTCCAATGAAATTTTTCTTTTTATTATTGTTATTGAATGTAGATAATGTACACATACAGAATTCAATGGTTCTTATCAAAGAATTGAATAAAAAAAATATAATATTTAATACACAAATTTATCCGGATGAAAATCATGGACTACCAAGTGTCAGTATACATCTTTATCAAACAATGACCAATTTTTGGAATGATTGTTTTAAATCTGATTCATTTGTTGAAGAAATTGGATTACGAAGACGACGTGTTTCAAAAAATTCCAACGATGAATAATAGAATCATCTATTTATAATAAACGAAAATATTTAACCAAGTTCCAAAGTCATTTATAAATGAATTTTCATATGCAAATGTGAGCAACAAAAAAAAAAGAAACAACAACAATTTATCCTTCCAAAACATTTGTTATCATTATTATTATTATCATCATCATTTTTATTAATTTTCATTATTTGTTGTTGTCCAATTATTTATAAATAAATTTATCCAAAATATACAAAATATAATGATGACTATTGTTCAATTGAAAAAATATCATCCTAATAATCATGATAATCAGCAGCACAACGAAATCCAAGATTACTTGCTGAAGTATCCTATATTAATAGATTTAAAAAATGAGAAAGAAAATCCTTTATTAATATTATTATTATTAATGTAAATAAAAATATTATTATTATTATTATTATTATTTTATTTATAAATGATAATAAACAATTAAAAAATACTAACTGGTGTATTAAAACTTCTGGCAGCACAACGATATCGATAACAATGTGAACGATGACACATAAATGATCCTCCTTTTTTCACTTTATTCTGTGTGTTTATTCCATTGGGAAATGAATGATTTGTTGTCCACCAATCATCATTCCATTCCCAAACATTACCAATCATATTTTTGAAGCCGAATTTATTTTGTTCAGGAAATTGATCGACCGGACAGGTCCAACGAAAACCATCATCACCTTGTTTTGATTTGAGAAAAAATGGTGAATAAAATGAAAAAAACGTTTTTTAGGTTTGTTTGTTTTTGCTATTTGATCGAATATATTATATACCTGTATTTTCGATTGGAAATCGTCCATGCCAAATATTCATATAATGTTCGCCTTTCGGATTTTCTTTGTTTCCCCAAGGAAACAAACGACGTTTGAGACCACCACGACAAGCGTATTCCCATTCGATTTCAAAAGGTAAACGTTTATTAGCCCATCGACAATATTCATTGGCATCATTCCATGAAACATGTACTACTGGATGGTTCATACGTTCTTCTAAATTGGAATCAATTCCTTCCGGATGAAGCCAATCAGCTCCATTCACTGGTAGCCACCATTGAGCCTGTGCAACGGCTTGAGTAATATTGGCCAAAACTTGTTCACTTAACATTAGATCCAGAACAAACGATGTACCAAAACGTTCAGCATCCGTCACATATTTAGTTATTTCAACAAATTTTGCAAATTTTTTATTGCTTACTTCATATTTATCTAACCAAAAGCTATTAACATGCATAAATCTTTCAGGAGATTCAGCATCTTCCAATATAATTGGTTCATTTGTGCCCATAAAAAAATCTCCCGATGGTACAAGAATCATTTCTTGATGATCGGTATTGAATGATGATGATGATGATGATTTAGAGCTAAAGCTATTAATCGGACAATTTTCAACATCAATAATTTTTGGCTTCGGATTTTTATCGAATCGACTCGGACAAGAATTTGAAAGATCATTGTTGCCACAGCTACAGCTATAAATAGTATTATAAGAATTTGGCCATAATAAAAGTATCCATAACAGAAAAAAATGTTTAGTCCCAGTAATCTGTTGTGTATTGAAAATAGAAAATATGATAGAATTGAATTTGAAAGATTTTTTTCAAAGAAATATTGAGAAAATAAAATAAAATATTGAACAAAAATAACATTTCCTATAGATAACATACAAGTGAAGTTTTTATATTTTGAAATTCTTTTATTTTTTATGATTTTGAAACTATTAAATTGAATTCTATCGAGAATTTTGACAAATGTAACAAAAGGAATTCCATTTTTTAATGTGTTTTGAAGGATAATATTTTTTGTTTGTCGTTATATTTTAATTGGATTCATATACAATTCTCGTAAACTAAGATGACTGTAGCGGTGGGAAAAAAATGTCCATAAATAAATCCGTTTTTTCAGGCAGCTGGCAAGAGAAAAATTCTTTGCGTGCAAAATAATATAATTCTACATAGAGATGATTAAACTGAATTCATTATCATTATCATTATTATGATTTTATTCATTTCATATTGAACAAAACAAATGAATGTAAGATTAAAAATTTGATATTTAATGTCCAGTAGCCCAGTTAGTAGTTTAGTAACTGATTTTTTTTTCTGGTTGTTATGTGCGACATATGTAACAATAACAAATAACCAAGGTAATATGGATAACAACAAATGAAAAAACCCGACCCGTATAAACATGGTTGCCATGTTGATAGGGTAAATTAAACTATGGAAAAATGTTTCCCAAAATAGAAACCAAAAGTGATCAAAGTGACCATCATAACCAAGCTAGCCAGTCAACCAGATAAAGATATTTTCTTCAATGTTTCAGTCGACTTTTTCTTCTGTGTAAAGATTTGTGATTCAAATGTAAACATTCATAAAAAGATTGTAAACGAAAAAAAACAACAACAAAATGGAAGAAGATTTTGAATTCGAAGACAAGGTAAGTACAAATATCTTTGTTCAAATCATCAAATTTTTTTTTGCAGAAAATCATCTATCGAATCAATAATTATTGTTTCCGGATCGATAGATTGATTTTATTTACTTAATTGTCGTTACATTCATATGATATTTATACTTAGTGTTTTTTTGCTATAAAAACGCTATTCCATTTTGATTTGTTTCATTTGGGTAGAACATGAAAAGAGACAAATTTTCTTTTTTGCTATATCCATAGTTTAATGGAACAGAAAACATTTAACACTTGACATTTTTTTTCTCCATTCATTTATTAATTCATCGTTCTCTATTTTGTGAAATTGAAAATTTGAAAGTAAATTTTCTATTATTGAACAAAAAAAAAAAAAAAAATGTTTGACATCGATTCATTTCAGCAACAACAACAAAAAAACATGATTCCATTCAACACAAAAAATAATAA